CGTGGCCGCTTTTATATACAAAATTTATATATACAATCGTTGCAGAAAGATGTTTCCAGTAGTGTCAGTTTAATGTGCTAGTCTAGAAAATTTAGCACAGCAGGCATTTTTGAGAAGTTCAAACAATCGACCGTGTTCTTAGCAGAGACGTGACTGTTAAGGATAGAGAATGTCTTCAGATTTTATGTATACTGTATGTATCACGGCAGATATTTATGGTCTTTGCAAAATTTATTCATTTGTTCAGTGGGTGTGTATGTGATATCTGGAGAATAATATCTTTACCGTCCTGCTGATGGGGCATGCAGCCTCTTCATGGCAGATTTTTAGACATTTTAATACATCGTCTTGAGATGGTGAGGGGGAAGGGAAGCCGCATTCCACGCTATAATCTTCGCCATTTTCAAAGTTCATTCCCCAAAGGTTATCCAAGGGGAGCCGGTGGCTGAGCGGACAGAACACTGGACGTGTGATCCTGTGGTCCCGGGTTCGCTCCCGGGCGCCGGCTAGAAACGATGGGCAGAGTTTCTTTAATCCTATGCCTCTGTTAGTAAATAGGTACCTGGGTGTTAGTCAACTGTCACGGGCTGCTTCCTGGGGGGTGGAGGCCTGATCGAGGACCGGGCCGCGGGGACACTAAAGCCCCGAAATCATCTCAAGATAACCACCATCCTAATCGCCGGCCCCATTATACTATACACAAGAACATATAAAAATAACTCGTAAAATCCTAGTGTCATCTGCCAATAATAATTCGGTACTAATCCAGGGGCGCCCAGAGAGGACGCTTGAACACGTGCGTCCGCTGTGGGCCTCCAGGCAAGGGTGGGGGTCCCCTCATTGTACACGATCCATTGTAATACAATGAAATCAATTTAATAAAAATCATTATCAAAAAGACGTTGTTAGTCTTTCCTTCAAGCTTTTCTCTCTCTCAGCATCCGCCATTGACGTTAGAACTCAACAGAGGAGAGGATGTTATTGCAGTCTGCAGACCCTGGGCGTCCACCATACATGGTTCTTGCATAATATTTCCAGGATTATGTAAACGTTATGTCTCCATGTGTTCTGTAATTTGTTTTGTGAGCACTCGTTCCAAAATGTATGATGTTAGTGCGTCAGGGATGACACCAGTATCTTGGTACTGTCTCCTTGTAATGTTTAGGATCTGTGATAAGTTTTTTTGTCTTAAAATTGTTGATGACTATGGAATTCGAATGGTCTGGGCCTGGGGTGGAGTGCATGGACAAATTGTTATGGCTACACCCACCCACCCCATTAGTGTGTTAGTGCTCTTCCCCCCCCCCCCCCTCCCCCATGTGGGGTAATGGCACTCCCCCACCCCGTACTTATTGCCCGCCCCCCCTGGTGTTCATTGCATCACATTTCGTCTAGTGAGATACCAGGGATTCAATTTGTTCCTTTATCATGCGCCCCATACCCATCCCGTGGGCAGTGGTGTAAAGGATTACAGAGGCACATAATCGGTTCAGGAACTGAACCCTTTAGTTCGTTTAGCTAAGCAAATAACAATCTTTTGACGCTAGTTACACAATTGTTAATGTTTATATATATTCATATATTATATATATATTATATATATATTATATATATATTTATATATATATATATATTATATATATATATTATATATATATATTATATATATAATATATATATTATACATTATATAGGGGGTACCACCTCTGGTGCATATATAATATATATATATATATATATATATATATATATAATATATATATATATAATATATAATATATATATTTATGTACATAGGGATGCCATTCACTATCAACACCCGTGGAGGAAGGGGAGGGAAGTATCAAGGAAAAGCGCCTAGCCATTATAACTATATAGCACCTGGAAGGGATCAGGATAAGGATTTGAGATGGGACGAGGGAAAGGAATGGTACCCAACCACTTGGACAGTCGGGGATTGAACGCCGACCTGTATTGAAGCGAGACCGTCGCTCTACCGTCCAGCCCAACATCCGTGGAGTTGATTGAAATAATAAAACGGACGCCTTCTTGAAAGAAGTTCTTGAACTTAAAGATGCCTCCGGTTCTTGGATAAGTTTAGATTTAGGACAGACTTGGGTAAATACTGGTTCAGTAACTGGGTTGTTGATTTGTGGAACCAATTGCCGCGTAACGTGGTGGAGGTGGGGTCCCTCGATTGTTTCAAGCACGGGTTGGACAAGTATATGAGTGGGATTGGGTGGTTATAGATAGGAGCTGCCTCGTATGGGCCAATAGACCTTCTGCAGTTACCTTTGTTCTTATGTTCTAATCGATTTGAAGACATTAGCAAATGTGCCGCCATGTCTGCCTTAATATTACCACATTCAAATGGTGATGAACTACATAAAACTCAAACTGAGAAATAAAATAAAATTAGAACTGCTAAATGCCATGTTGATGGCCAAATTCAGTTTATCAAGATTCGAGAAATGTTGCAACTCTTGCAAACTGAAAGTGCTGAATGCTGAATGATCCAAAGTGCTGAATGACGCCGGAACAATCGCTGCTTACAAACAAATCTTCAGGTACTTCTCAGCAGATCAGTCTAGTGTTAAAGATGAAGTTGAAGAAGATGAATATTTCTTTTGGTAATGTACATATGTAAAGGTAAGTAGCATTATTAGTTCATGAAATTTCAGTGTTATTTATATTATCGTAAACTATACTGGAGGATTAGTAATACGTAATATATTTTAGACTTTTTTAGATGCATATCAGGAACAAAAGTGATTTTTCATGTTTTTAATGTTTCTGGATGTAAAAGTGAGCATTGAGTTGGCAAGAGTGAGTGAGGCAGACACATGGTGCAACAACCCATCCAGCACCAGCTGGTTTAGACCAAGGATCGTTGTGTCGAACCATTCCTGAACTGTACACGTCTGCCCGAATTTTCCCCCTAGCGCACTGGCTCAAGCATGATGCAAGCAAACCAACACTAGCGACTACGTTGATGTGCATAAAAGGATTAATAATGTTCAATCGAGCTTTTATGGCCAAGTTTCTCATGACTAGGATATTGAAAACTTCAGCTGCAGGCTTATAATTAAATTATCCATAACAGTTTCTGATGGGTCCAATGATATGGTAATTAAGTCAACCATGTGTAGAGCGTACGTAATTTGCATAAAGAGTGCTGCAAATTTAGGGGGAACTTGCAATGGTGTTTTAGCATAGTGATGAGGGAGATGTTGGAATAGTGGGCATGGTGTTGATGTGTTGGTATGATGTTTGGGCATGGTGGTGATGTGTTGGTATGATGTTTGGGCATGGTGGTGATGTTGGTATAATGATTGGGCATGGTGATGATGTGTTGGTATGATGTTTGGGCATGGGGGTGATGTGTTGGTATAATGATTGGGCATGGTGATGGTGTTGGTATGATGTTTGGGCATGGGGGTGATGTGTTGGTATGATGTTTGGGCATGGTGATGTGTTGGTATGATGTTTGGGCATGGTGAAGATGTGTTGGTATGATGATTGGGCATGGTGGTGATGTGTTGGTATGATTGGGCATGGTGGTGATGTTGGTATGATGATTGGGCATGGTGGTGATGTTGGTATGATGATTGGGCATGGTGGTGATGTGTTGGTATGATGTTTGGGCATGGTAATGATGTGTTGGTATGATGTTTGGGCATGGTGATGATGTTTGGGTATGGTGGTGATGTTTTGGTATGATGTTTCAACCCGTCCTCGCACTTTTGTATATTCAATATTGACTTATTAAATACGTGCATATGTGACATACTAATTTATTGTGAATATTTTAGTTTACCTTGAAAAGCTTCATAGAAAACACCGACCTTACCTAACCTTCTTAGTATGTTAAGATAAGCATCTTATTTTTATTGCTTCGTAATTACAATTATTACTTAACCTATTATAGGTATTGGTTAAGTAATAATTGTAACCTTCTTAGTATACTAAGAAGGTTAGGTGAGGTCGGTGTTTCCTATGAAGCTTTTCAAGGTAAACTAAAATATTCACAATAAATTAGTATGTCACATATGCACTTATTAAATAAATCAATACTGACTGTTAGAAAGTGCGAGAACGGGTTGGATGTTTGGGCATGATGGTGATGTGTTGCTATGATGTTTGGGCATGATGGTGATGTGTTGCTTTGATGTTTGGGCATGATGATGTGTTGCTTTGATGTTTGGGCATGATGATGTGTTGCTATGATGTTTGGGCATGATGGTGATGTGTTGCTATGATGTTTGGGCATGATGGTGATGTGTTGCTATGATGTTTGGGCATGGTGATGATGTGTTATGATGTTTGGGCATGATGGTGATGTGTTGGTATGATGTTTGGGCATGATGGTGATGTGTTGCTATGATGTTTGGGTACAGTGATGATGTGTTGGTATGAAGTTTGGGCATGGCGATGGTGTGTTGGTATGATGATGTTGGCATGAGTTTGGGCATAGTGATAAGCATGTGTTGGTGTGGTGTTTAGACAATAGTGATGCAAGCAGGGGTTTGTATATGATGGGGGGAGGGTATTGTATTATGTTGGTGTGTATAGTGATGAGAGAGGCAGGTGGAGTATGATGTTTGGAGTGAGGGGGATTGTCATTTAAGGCAGGTGAAGATATTTTGTTTGGAGGAAGGTAGGCATATCATTTGGGGTATAGTCACAAAGGAGGCAGAGCATTTCATATTTTGACTGATTATTTTATTTGACAAACTTTATTTTTTCTAGAAACTGCTGCCATATACCGTACATTGTATTGCAGGCAGTCATTTACTGTATTAGCAATGCTAGCTAATGTCAATGCAAATTATACTTTACAATTTTGATGTGCTAGTTTTAATTAAACAAACTTATACTGTGTATATTGCATAATATTCCCTACATGAATATTTACTGCTGTACATATATACATCGTGTTTGTGTGTTTATGGGTCATGGAATTTGTGTGCATATTTATTTACAGCAGTATTCTCTTTCAGCGAGTCGAGCATGTTCATCTCATCTCGGCGTTTCATTCTAAAAACTTGCGGAACGACTACCCCACTGTGTTGTCTACCCTTATTGATATCCTTGGTGCAGGAGTATGCTGGATATGACACTGTCCAGGTATGTTAAGATTTTTTACTTGGTTGTTCAATGTTCTAATTATTGTACAGTATTGTGGTATATTTTCTTAAAATCTATTTATATATTTAACAGTATTGTTCTTGATGGTTTATATGAATTGAGGTTCATGCCAGTTTTCTTACAGCTAATGGAAAAAATCTTGACAAATTTAGTGCCTTAGTTGTTACCACTAGACCTATGGATTGTTAAAAGCTCAAATGAGCACTGGTAGTTTCAGAATATTTGCTCAAGCTAATGCATTAATTTTTTAAATGTAAATGTTAATTTTGTCTGTTAAATTAAATCACAATTGGGATATAGTTTGTTTTCCTGTTACTAAATTTATTTTAGTATATTTCTTTATAAATTTATTTACTGTATTTCCTAATTAGAAATAATGGTTTGTGTATAACTCAAACTAGACAACAGTATTTGTCCATCATATTAATCAGGTGTATGAAATTTAAATACTGTATCATGTTCAGGTCTTTTGTGAACCTTCAGTCTAAACATATGTACTATACAAATATATTGAGACCTTAAAATAATTTGTCCTTTGAATGTTTGAGCCTGTGCAGACTTGCATGGTGACAGTACAGTACCTTACCTTGAGTTGACCTTGAGACGCTTTCAGGGTTTAGCGTCCCCGCGGCCCAGTCCCCGACCAGGCCTCCTCGTTGCTGGACTGGTCAACCAGGCTATTGGACGTGGCTGCTCGCAGCCTGATGTATGAGTCACAGCCTGGTTGATCAAGTATTCTTTGGAGGTGCTTATCAGGTTCTCTCTTGAACACTGTGAGGGGTCAGCCAGTAATGCCCCCTATGTGTAGTGGATAGTACAGTGCTAAACTGCATCAAACAGAAAGCCAACCATGTAATTTTGTTTAACTTTTACTTTTGACTTTTCTATGGACCCAACTGCCCCATAGTTTTGCAGACATCTTTACAAATCTTTATGAATGATGCACTGATGTTATTGAATAGAATATTGTTTGGTACTCGCATCCACCTTCAAGGCAGGCAAGATATCAAACTAGAAAATATACAGTGCAGTACTGGGATTGTCTCAAAGCACTCGGATTGTTCACCTTGGAATGTGTACACTAAATGTGTATACTCATTTCAGTTTTGTCACCTTAATTCTCGTGCTACGTCGTTCGTTTTGGTATCAATGTGTTCGCAATTAAATTCCCTGCAGGTGTATATACATATTTTGTCCAAAAGCCCAGCGGGACTCCCTTAGCAAAGCCTAAAGTTACCCGTGAACGAGAACCAATTATCACACCCGGAACCTAATGTGTGTACTCGTTCAGTTTGATACCCTCAATTTTCGTGTTACATTGCTCGTTTTGGTATCAAAATGTTTGCAATATAAAGGTGTGTATTTTCAAACTAGTCCTATAATAATAGAGCAATAACTGAAATTTTAACAAATATTTTAATTTTGGACGCTCATCATCACAAAATTATTTATATCTTTCTAGTGTTCTGACATAAAATTTTGTGTTACATCTTTAATTTTAGTATCAAATTGTTCGCAATGTAAAGGCGCACATTTTAAAACTAGTCTCATAATGGCACAATAAATAGAATTTTAACAAATATTTTAAAATTTTTACCAAGAACGTATTTATAATTTTTCAAGTGTTCTGACATCAAGTTTTGTGTTACATCTTTCATGTTGATATCAAATTGTGCGCATTCTAAAGGCACTCATTTTGAAACTATGCCAAAGTCGATCGGATAAAAAATGAATTTTATACAAATATTTTTTTGTATTGGACGCGAGCAGTGTCCAAAGCTAGGACACGAGAGAAAAAAGTGGACACGAGGTGTGTCCAAAGAGAGCGATAGTGTTAAGAATAAAGTATTTTCATACTACAGTAATTCCGACTTGCAAAAGCTTAGAAAACTGAATCTAAATAATTAAACCTGAATTACACTGATATTTAATAAACATGACTTTGTTCATAAATAAAATAGTTTTGCTTCTGAACAATTGCCAATATACTTGCACAGTACATTGCTGAAGATGTAATTTCTATGATTTGAATTTTGTGCATTTTTAATAAGGCACTTTTAGTTTCAATAATTCATTACTACTGTCTTTTATGCTTGCACATATATTGGGGATTATAGGTAAGATCATTCAGTGCTTGAGTAATTAATTTCAATGTTGATATTTTGTGAGGTACTACAACCTCTTATAAAAATATTGTTTGTAACTTTTATTTCAAAGTTCATTAGACTGAAACATAATTAGAAATTGGATAAATGCTCCGATAATAGTTTGGGCAACAGTTACTGAGTGGGTAATATGCAGCTTGTTAGCAAAACAAAAATTGGTTTATATCAGTGATGTATTATAAGCTTAATGTAGTTAGAATGTATTTTCTGAAAAAGTAGTGTATTTAAACCTGGTGTTTTCTAAGTGGATATTTTGAGAATTTGGAATTACAATATGTTGCACTTAGAATTACAGTAAAATAAATAAATTTTCAGCTGCATACATATGCATACATATTTTGTCACATAGGCTGCATTGCTGCAGTACACTTATAAACTCTCTATCACATGGTTGGTATCATTTAGCAGTCAGGTTATGTGGTGTTTTAGCTGCCTTAAAAAGATGAAGGATGCTCAAATATAGCAAGCTACTAAAATATTTAATTTGGCCTGAATGAAACAATAATAGTAAAATAGTACATGAAGGGATTCTAATACAGTACAAGAGAATATATTTGATTTGTAATATACAATAATGAGTGTAAAATAGAGTTAAGGCATACATACAAACTCACTTGGTTGCATGTGGTTGGTGGTAGCAGCAAAACTGGCTTTTAAGGACGACTGTGAATGTGCCATACAATTATGGCGAGGCTAATATTTTGAGAAGATTCCCTCTGTATCTCCTCAAGCTACCCACCCAGAAACCATAGGTATCACTCTAAGTTCTAACAAATTAGGCATGCCTACCAAAGACCAAGGACCAGAAGCTTGCCCTCTCGATAGAAGCATAGAGAAGTCTGAGGATATAAGATCACGGCACTAAAGAAAACACCACCAAAAAGTTAGAGCGCATAAAAAAAGTAACTGCTTGGACAACATTTGCAATCCTGATTTAAACTATGCTTGCACTCATTGTTTAGGCCTTTCCTTTTTTTCAGGGATATTCCTGTGCAGGCTTTATGCCTTTGGCTGGCCCACTAATTGTTTCTTGTTTCTGTCTTAGGCGAAGTATAAGTATTTATGACTTGTATCTTTGCATCAGTAAGATTATGCCCAATGTATTTTTACCAGTGTGAGGGGTTGGATATTTTGGCTATGGTAAGCACCTAAGGTGGGCATGATGGAAGCTGTGCAGATTGTTTTCTCTCCTCCTGAGGTGGCAGGAATGGATTTCTACGAGGCTCGCTTAGAGGCCATAAGAGTCGCACTTCAGCAGGCAATACTCTTGTTTCTTCTTGAGTCTGCCTGGTCATTAGTTTTTGTTTTATGTATCCTTTACTCCTGGAAGCTGGGGGCTGTTGGCACTGCCTTCTTCCCTTGCCTTGAGCTTCCTTCCCAGCTGCAGTTTCTCTGGCACTGATTTGTTGGGTATTGCAGGCTTTTGGGCCTGTGTTGCTAGAGTCTTGAGTGATGATGCTACCTTTAGCATTGGCTTCCTCCTCCTCCTGATGGGAATATTTGTATTCATATTTTTAAGTCACTCATCAGGGCTCTTCATGCAAGTCTTTCACAGCTCGCCCCTTTTCCAGTGGAGTGAAGGATTGGCTTTCCAGGTTTCCCCATTCCCTGGGTGCACAGGCCTTTTGTTAGGATGGACTTCAATGCTTCTGACTTGGCAGGTTTGGGCTCTGTGTCCTGCTTTGCTTACAAAGTGGAGATGCACAAAATGGCATAGGCCATGAAGTAGCACTGAAGTGTGAGTGTAGCCAAAGCAAAGGAGCATTCATTGGAAGAAATGGGTACCTCATTTTATTTGTCCATGGTAATGTTGCCATGAGCAACTCGGGCCAATTTATCTAAGGCTTGGAATAATTAAGAGTGTCTTATAATACAAAAAAAGTAAAATTTAAAGTGTTTTACGTAACATACATTTAAGGGTTTAATACACGAAGATTGATTTCAGACAAAATTGATGCAAATGATAGAAAGCATAATCAACATTTCACTTGTATTAAAGTGATTTATGTCGTGTTACCATACCCGCTTCATTATATCTTTGTAAGGGATTGCATGACAGTGCACATACAGTATTGGCAAAGGTGATAATCTGATATTTAGGAACCATAAATTGGTTTGGTCCCTATTTACACTGCGAGATAAAAATTTTGCCTTGATTTTAATTTTATATTAATTACATTGACATTGGCCAATAGTTAAATATATGAAGTATAACATTATAAATGCAATTAAGGAATTATATAATGCAGGTAAGTGACTTGAATGATACTAATTGACTTGTCTTTGGCAAGGAAATCTTAGTTTGCTCATCTGTTTCATTTGATTAAAATATGAAAATTATGAATATGGAACATTAGAGCCATATTGCTTGTCGATTATGTAAAATTTCCTAACAAAATTAATAATAATTATCATCACATGGATCTTAATGTAGAGCAGTGAAGAGCAAGCAGGCTTTCCTGTGCCACCTGGGTATTCCCCCTGTGCCCAGTACCCAGCACAGGTGATAGACGGTCACATACATACCACCAACCTTACTTGTTTGACTGCTTTCCCTAGTTTGACCACATATATTCTAACAGTCATATTTGACTACAGTTGTATCAAGCTCAATAAATTCATGAAAGGATGGTGGTGTGTGTTTATGGAGGGCGCCACACGGGTCAGCTTCCCGGGTACTATAGTACCGTAGCCCTTAATGACCGTTGATCTTCCTGTTTTTCTACAGCAACAAGGCCAGACACTGGCATCACCGCAGCAGGCCACTGGTGAACTCGTGAGCTGCTTCACATAATAGGGCGCATCGACCCAGGTCTCGGTATTATGCGGTCATCTACTTGTTCTTCTGCCCCACCATGAGTTCTCGCTCATTTGAGTGCTCAGTCAGCGCAGGGGACTGCCACAACCCATACTGCTTCTTGATAAAGTAGTCAGCAGCTCTATAATAGATCATTTGGATTATTAATTGGCATTTAATAGTTGCCAGTAGATATCTAATTGATGGTAATGTTCACTTGTCTAATATTTCCATATCGGCTTTGTGTCCTAGTTTCTATATCTTGAAAGTTTAAATATCAGTTAGATATATAAATAATAGTCTTCCAGTACAGTAATAAATATACAGTACAATATAAAGAAAATATATTATGGGCTGCAGATAAAGTCTCTTACATCAAATTATGGATTTTAAGAATGCTGCCGTTATTTTTTAAAAGTACCGTATAAACCTTTTAAATTAATGAAGTTGAATGCTGTATGTTTAGTGATATATTAATTTATTATCCACTATACCAAGTGTGTGTGGAAAATATAAATTTTTTCTCACTGATGAATTATTTCTGGAAATGATTGCTCTCATTTTTATATGTATTTGATAATTAATGGATATAAAGTAAGGCTGGATCATAAGATACAGTACTGATTTCTTCTTTCTGTAGGAAAATGAAATTTGATTGTTTTGCATTAATGACTACACAATTTAAACGAAGGTGGTGATAAATTTGTGAACCAAAACATTGGGAGTAAATTTAAAATAAGAGAATTTGTGTACAGTATTTACAAGAATTTGTGGCAGTTAAATTTTTAATTACCGATAGCTGGCATATAATAAGAAGAAAATGTTAGGCATTTAAAAATAATGCATGTTAATATATTTTCTTCAATAAATCTAAAAATTTTGTGTGAAAACATTTCACAATGTTTTGTGATTGCCAATAGGTATTCAACAATATTGAACTGATCTTGCTTATTGTGACGACTTATATTGGGTGATGTACAAACAGCTATATTAATGAAGGGGAAGGTCTGATAATGAAATACAATATCTCCTTAAAATTATTCTGCAGTTTAGTAGACCTTGTACAGGAAAATGCAAATGAAAAACTAAATAATTGAGATATGTAGAGAATGCCTTTGTGTATCATCTTGAAGCTTATACAGTATATGCCTATACAAGGAAGATCCCTGTTATTGGGCCATGTAGCCACCCCAGTGACAGATTTTAAAAGTTTCACAAGTTATTGGGGTAAAGGATGACCATGAGCAATACAGTATAATGAAAGCTAAATAATGCACCTACTCCAAAGTGTCGAAATACCTGTTCTGATACCAGGATAATTAAAGCATGATCCTTGTACTTCCTGTACGCCTTAAAACATTATCCTTATCCCGAGATATGCTAACCCTGGCATACCTCGTGCGATCAGTTAGTTTAGTTCATTTATTATTCACCCCATACCCATCTTGTGGGTGGTAAGCTACAGTAAAAAAACATATCAAGTTTCATTTTCGTTATTTAGACATTACTGTAATGAGAGAGAGGTTGCATTCCAGTATTTAATTACATTTGCAGCACAAAATTTATTCGTTTAGTACACATGCTTATTTCTGTTAAATATTTGGCATTTGGTGAATTGTGTTCTGCATGTAAAGGACCACAAATGAAAGTCTTTATATTGACAAGATTTATACACACTAAAAATGCATTAGCTCATGTATAGCTAGATTCTGTTTGATGTAAATAGTTCATGCCTGCTCTAGTCACTTCTTTTATACAGTATCAATATTCATATTATATACAACAAAAAATATTAACTGAATTGCCATGATAATATTAATTATGTAATTCAAAAGATATACGTGGCAAGTTCTTTCCCTTCCTTTTTTGTTAGCTACTTGAATGTACTCCAGTGTTTTAAAATCTGTAAGAAGAAAGAGGCCTTACAGGCAGCCATTAAATTCGTTGTTTTAGGTTGAGCTGGGTGAGTGTCAGTCCTGCTGCAGCCTGACCTCCAGGGGTGACAATTGTGGCTGGCCATATTGAGCCATAAAGTTCAACGCAGCGTGTGGCATGGTCCCACGCTCCCCTGGGGGGGGCACCAGGCTCCCGGGGCTGAAATCTGGCAGAAGTGCAGGCAATGCTCGGCGCACCGTGCATCATGCTGGATGTAAAGCTTTCTGGCGGGCTGCACATGCTTGGAGAAGTTTTTATTGCTTCACTTAATTATTGGAAATTTTTTACATTTCAAAATCATAATTTTGTTAACATTACAGTACATATTAATTCCACACAAAAATTTTAAGTTTCATTTATTTGCCATCAATTGTAATCTTCATGGTTAGGATATCTTTCAAGGGTGATTTCCAAGCCCACTTTGTATGTCAAGGTATTCTAATTATTAATCAATCTCCAGGCCTGTGTGATAGCGCTAGTGTCCGGATGTCACAACTCTGTGGGGAGGCCAGTACAGGACGGCCACTGTACCCTGTTTTGTGCCCCAAAGTATTGGTTGAATATTCTTTTACTCACAAAGCAGAGTTCATGGCCTATCCTGGGTTGGAATTCAACACCCCCTTAGTTGTTGACATCATTGTATTTTTCAGTGTTTAACTGTAGGTGTCACCTTTACAGGACCTGTACTATTCACGGAAGAACTTCAAGCGGCCTGAACTTCAAGTGTCTCCTCATCGCACCTTTGAAGAAGAGGCCTCGATCTTAGACCAGTTTTTCCCAGGTAAAGAAAACTTAGAATAACTATTTACCATAATTTTTTTATTCAAGGTAAATGGTTTTCTTATTTACAGATAACAATTCGAGGGTTGTATTATTGAAATTGATAATAATTGTGTATAAAATATTTTCTAGGTATGCCCCTTAGTATCTTCCATAACTTTAGGCACTAGCACCATTGGGACATGCAAGGCTAAGTCTGGTGACAATCTGCCCATTGCAAGCAAGTGCCATTTCACACTGACTTGTCCACTGCATGGCACAGAGAGTAAGTTGAGATATCAGATCAGTCTACCACTGAGATGAACCATTTCAAAATGGGTTGTCAGAAAACATCCAACTTCCTCCGAGAAAGTGTGGCAATTAACTTGCTACTAAATTAAGCTTTGAAAACAACTGCAATATCTTTGCCAGTAACTCATCTGCTCGACACTGGGTGGCAGGCTGAGTAATTCAAGGCTCCTGCTAGCTGACCTAATTGTCTTCCTTGGTACCATGACAGACTGGTCACTTGTGACTAAATATTTCTAAAGTTCACTCCTATGGGAGTCTTCTTTTGAAACTTTCTCTATCCTTGTTGAGGGAAGGCCGTATTTTGCACAATGAATTGACAACATACTGGAGCAGAAGGTGGGAAATGCAGTGTGGACCGAATGAAGAGTAGCGGGGCTATAGACACAATCAAAGAATATTATATGACCATCACAGGCCCAGGGAGCTTCAGCTTCCTTCCACCAAATATATGAAATATGAAATATTGATGGAATAAAAGTGTAAATTTTTTAATGGTAATTGGACAAATTCCTGCAGGAAGGTCTGGATCAACCAGTTTGTAGTGGGTGTGTGAACAGCAGGCATGTGAGCAGTAGGGTTAACAATAAAATTATAACCAGACAAGCCTGATCTTCAGCAACATGAGTTTGAAGGGTGTTCGTTGGCATTGTTACATGCTGTTGTTTATTGTCTGTCATCTCCCATTCTGCCCCCCTGGGTCAGCGACACCATTGACCTCGAGTATTGCAATGTTTGCACTCATTGGGTGTCTATATTATCTGAGCTTGCATTAATACAAGATGCTTTTCAGGCAGCAGCTGCTGCTTTGTGGGCTCATTTTTCCAGCTTTCATGGTTTGTGGCATGGGGCCTGCTTGGTTGACCAGAGTTAGCCCCAATGGTGTTTAGAGGGGTTGGTGAATTCCACCTATTCTAAGTTTGCCCTTCCTCGTTCTTCCTCTGCTGATGTGATGCACCCAGCATCTGGTCTTTTCCTCCATGGTTCATGCCAATGTGAGAGTTTCAGAGTCAGACCAAAGTTTAGCTATGGAGGTAACTCATCTGTCTTTGGGGGGTTGTCCCTTCTACTTCAACGGCAGAGACTGTTGAGTTTGCTGACAATCCTCTCATTTCTTTGGGGGCTTGGCAAGGCTTCTGGATGCTTGAATGGCAGGAAGGGAGATCCATCTTTAGGTGGAGCCTCTTTTATACTGCTTGAGAATAGTTTGTTTGCTCTGGTGCTCTCAAAGCATGTAGCATGTGACGGTTCCATGTGCAGCTGCCCACACTCTTAAGCTCTTGTTCTGGAAAATCACAGGACTCATACTCACTTGGTAATAGTGTTGCATGTCTAGGAGGTTATTGGACTGTTCTCAGAACAGCTCTGTGATGACCTGGATGATGTGGCATCTCTCTTCAGTGTGGCTGCCTTGCTGCCAGCAGTTCCAGTCTCTGCTGCTCTGCTCAAGTTGCTCACCCCACTCTTTCAGAAGGCAGTGTCAACATTTTACTTGGCCGGTTCACGTGTTGGTACACTATGCTGGCCCAGTCCTGTAATTTGACCTGGTCTTTAACCTTTTTTATTCCTTCCCCCTTTTTGCCTTTCCTCTTTCTTGGGTAGGGCCTTGCCTACTGTCAGTTGGGGTAGGCCTCTGGTGCAATTAAGTAATTATGACTATGATAAAACTAAATACACACATGGTCTTCAGCCTGATTTTACCATATACATGTTGTTACTGTTTAGGCCTGTTTATTTCAGTTGTAGGTTGATCATAGATCCTCATGAGATCCCCAACTGCAAGAAGTAAACAAGTGATGGTGCATGTCCTCAGTGTACTGTATTGAGATTGTAAACTGTATTGTCACTGTCCTACACATTCCGGTAATGTAAGCTGATGAGGCCTGTCTAGGAGTAATCTAAAAAGGGGTATTGTATATCACTAAACACTTTATTTGGGTACAGAGATGTGACGGTCTGAGGATAGTTTCATTGTTGCATGTAATTATTCTTGCATGAATGATTTAAATGTAATAATATAATGTTTTAAAGATACTTTATTTACAACTGTTACAGGTGGTAAAGCATACTGCATGGGAAGTGTGAACCGTGCTGACTGTTGGTACCTATACACAGTGTCGCCAGGTCGTCCACGATACCGTCCCAATGCAGCCCGCCACAACCTTCCTCATAATCGGTTGGTTATAACAACACTTCAGATTTTTTATACCTTGCTCATCTCCTTTTCAAAGAGTACATTTTGAGAGCTTTGAGATGGTCCCAATAATTTAGATGTTTTGTCATTTCTCTGCATGCTGTATATGTTCTCTGTATTCTCTCTATTCAGAGATCTCTCCTGCTCTGAAAGGGGAAGCGAGTACCGAGCAATACTTAAAATGGGACAGCACCAGTGATATAAATATAAATAGTATTAGCATTGCTGTGGGATCTCTGAATCTGAACGTTCTTATAATCCATCCAATTATTTAATGGCCGCCACTATATTTGCTAGGTTATATTCACTAAATGTCTGGTCGTCAAATATCGTAATTCCCAGATCTTTTGCACGTGTCCAGTTTTTCTTAAGGATTCCACTTGTTCTGACAATATATGTTCATAGTGTTATCTGATTATGCCTATGGCACCTCTACTCTTCACTGGCTCTATTCTACATTTCACTCCATATTGCTCACTCTAGTATGTTGTTACTGTATTGTACTGTTTAAATTTGGGACCTGGCACCCAAGTATTTTCCATGTACCATGTATTTTGCTTTTATAACTTGTGCCAGCCCTAGTTTGAAATTATAGTATAATTATTTGAAATATTTATCTTTAAGGTAAAATGTAATAATTTCAAAGGGAAATGTTAATTAACTAATTAGTGAAACGTATAATAAACCATGAATTTGACAGAGTTGGCAAGACACACCGTGAACCAGATCAAACATTAGAGGTCCTGATGATGGACTTGGATCCTGATAAGATGAAGTGGTTCTGCAAAAATGTATGTCCAACTGCTGCTGAAGCCACCAAGGTTAGTAATCTTGCAAAGTTAATACATGCAAAAGTCCAATAAAACCCTAAATTTTACTGTGCCTGTGGGGAGCAAGATCTAGCTTTTGGGCTTGCCTCATAATTATAATTGTGCGCCGTCTTATCCTCATTTGGAAGATTCCAGCCTTTTCCTTGTCTATTTCCCTCAGTAATTTGTTAAGTCTCCTTTGGGTTGTCTTCTCTTAGGTTGTTAGGTTGAGCCCCCCTTAACCTGTCTTGGCTTAATTTCTCAGTCACGGGACAGAATGCTTGTTAAGCTTATTGAGGGCCTTCTGGTCAACAACGGACCTTCCTTGAGATGCAACCCAAAAAAGTTGCTAAACTCCATGGCACTTATTTATTTAACAGTGAATGTACAAATGAAGAAAACAAAATAGTGTTTAGAAAGCACAACAACTGATGCATAAAGAAATCACATTAACATGGTGTATCAATGAGAAAATCAGGAAGAGATGATTTTCTCATTGCTACTGATTAAAGAACTGGATCTCGCACCCCTGTAGAAACAATTAGATAGTAGAGCTATTTTGGATATTGACACATTTTGAAGTTTCAAAAATGTTTTTTGTGAGTTTCTGAACTATTTAATTTAAAATTTTTAATTCTCTACTGTATAAATAAAACGGTTTGTAAAAAGGCATGTGAAAGTTGGCAATTAATCTTTCAAGATAAAAATGTTCTAATTTTAATTTAATAAAGCTTGAAACCTGTTACATTGTAAATGGCTATTTGAAGGTAAGGTGGGCCTGTTATGAATTAGACTGAGTATACTGTAGTCTGCAGAATGTTTAGTTTATACTAGTATAATGACCTATATAGTATTTATAGTTATTTTTTTTTCTATATTTTTCTATAGAAATCTGGAATTGATCGGCTAATTCCTGATATGATCATCGATGACTTCCAGTTTGATCCCTGTGGATATTCTATGAATGGATTGATGTGCAGTGTGCCGGTAAGTATTTCATTGTGGCTTTTGAGAACCTTTTTAAAAAATATTTTGCTAACTAGTACAAGTAAATTTTAAGAATATTTGCTGTCTGCACGAGTAAATGTAATTGCTCAAATAGGTTTCTTGAGTAATGAATCACAGAAAATGTAGGAGAATGAAAGTGGAAAATGGAATTTTTCAGCTGATCCCTTAAGGATAGTTTCCAGAGGAGCAAAGCATTATCAGTAGACTAAAGCTAAAAAGTTGATAAGTACAGTTTATCTACTTTTGTCTTAACACACACATTTTGATAACACTTGTGCTAACATTAATTTTCACTTCACATTACAATGATAAGAATTTGTTATAAAACAAATTATGTTTGTTATGATTAAGGGAGCAATTTGACAAAAATTGCTCCCTTAATCATTCTTTTTATATTAGTGTAGTTTAGAATCATTTAATACAGCTTGCTATGGCTAGGCAAAGTCTGCAAGGTACAGTATCTGCACAAGTCACACTTGCTGTACATGTTCATAAATAAACACTGCACACCCTACAATTGGCTTATTTTGATTTTTTTTGTAGTGATATTTTTGCACCTGAACTGTTTGTAATAGAGTATTGTACATTTGTGTATAATGAAGCAGAAAGGTCCACAATTGATTTGTGACAATGATTATATCAACATTCCTTATATATTAAAATATTTCTGGAGTCCATGTAGCATAGTGTTAAGACACTCGGCTGGAGATTCGCGAGCTCTTTGGCCTGGGCTCGTATCCTGGCCAGGGAGGATTTACTGAGTGCCAATCCTCAACTGTAGCCTCTGTTCACCCAACAGTAAAATGGATACTTAGTTATTACACGATTTGGCAGGGATGTATTCCGGAAAATATTAGGATTAAGGACTTGCCCGAAATGTTATGCGTGCTTGTGGCAGTACAAGAATGTAAGAACTCTTGTATATATAAATGAATAAAAATAAATAAAATTATATGTTGAAATATTACAAAAAAAAATTATTCTGGGTTGATGCAACACACAAACCATTTTGTAAATACAAAAATTCTCTTTGATGGCTCCTCTCATTAGTTCCCAAGCTAAGTACTGATGCAGCGATGTCTTAGAAAGATGAACAAGGCCTCCTGAGACCCATCCTTGCTGGAAGTCAGAGATTAACCAAAAATGGAGGAGACCTCCACCAGAAAGCATAAGCACAATAAAATCAGCAACTATTTGAAGAGAATTTGGTACCTGAGGTAAATTGCCACTGGGTAAATATCCTAACCATGGTGAATCTGACTGATGGTAGCCTAGGTCATCTGGGGTTCGAACTTGTATGCCACTTGCCAAAATGTTCCTGCACTACCCATACCAGAGAAGTCACTGTTAGGCAGGAGCAATGCAAATGAGAGCTTAGGATATAGCTACCCTAAACAAGTGCAGTTCAAAACGAAGCTTAGACTAAGTCCACACAACAAATAAACACACTTGAGCAAATGGCTCCCATGGGTGGGGTCCAAGAGCTAATGGTTCAATCCTGCAGACACAAATAGTAAATACAGGGCAAAGTCCAAAGGATGTCCTACACATACTCTGAAAAGACGTGGAACTCGCTATAGCCGGTGACTCTGCGAGGTCTGAATTTACAGACATCGGTGACAGGACTGGGGCAAAGATGGTTCCAAAGCCTTGAGGCCCCATGGTGCCTATTTGCAGTTAGTCTGACTGGGAGGGTTCGAGCTAGATTCAACTGAATATTTTGGATCCGAATATTGTTTTGCCTTTTCGGTGCTTTGTTCTCTAAACCTTGCAGATGTCTGTATTGCTTTGCTTACTTTTTTGGAAATTTTCTCAGTGTGGGTACTCATAACAATCCCCAGCTTTCTGTGCCTCTTGAGGGAAGGACTAGGTTCTGACTTTGGTTCACAGTAGGCTGATAAAGGACCTGAACCATACAGGACTCTTATTGCTGATGTGACTCAGTTCAGGGAGCCACCGTGAGACTTATCCAGTAAAAACATAGCTGCATTACTCTGTATGATGCAACTAATAATTATCCTTGGATATAAATAAAACACATTAAATCTTCCTTCAGCTAACTAGGCATATCTTTTATTCTGCAGGGTTACAGGAAAGGTTATGTAAGTACTGTACTGTGCTACTTAAATCATTCCCGTTTTAAGCATTGGTTGTATGTTCTCTGCTGTACCAAACCACAGTTAGCTTGGCATGGAATTATTTAGCCCTGCAACTCACAAAATTAAACATGGTTTATTTTTTCTCCAGTAGTATAGTTCTGTCCTTAGTTTGTAATTAATAATATATAAGTCTGTACTTGAATTAGAAGCCGATATCTTGCAATAAACACAGCCCATGTTTTAGTCAGGGCATGTTCAGTGTCAGAATACTTGGCCTCGTTCATAAACAATTCTGCATATACAAACTGTTTTGTGCAGTTTATAATATTCTTCTAATTACAGTATTTACTACCATGTGCAGTTCCCTTAGATAGTTCCCTTTTCTTTTACATTTCTATTATAATCTCTGCTAGAGCTATATTTGGCAACAATAGTACATGTAAGCTGTAACTGGTCTGTATTTTGTCATTTTCATTCTCATTATTAAATAATATACCGACTCAACTATACATTTCCCCATACACAGAGTAATCATCACGGCTCCGGATTTTCTCATTGATGCATCATGTTAGTGTGATTACTCTGTGTATTGAAAGAGGAGCATAAGAGGTGGAACATTACTAGATAACAGATGCAAGAGTGCATGGGGAAATTGTGTGAAACTCTGATCTGGCTTCAGTGGCAGCCTCAGGAATACTCGTGTTTTCAGCAGAACTCCAGGTTGCAATCCTTTTGACCATATCGTGGCCTGATTGTCTGGGGTGTATACCTGGACATGCCTAATGCATAGGTTTAAATCCTTATCACAACTCCTTTGGATTTTTTCATATTTACCATGCTTTACATTATATGCCAGTTATCTGTATTAGTGCCAGCATCAAACTCTTCTGAAAACCACTACATTCCCTGGGCATGCTCACTTTTCTGAATATTTCATCCACCCTTTCCATCATTCATTTCATGGAAGCCTTTCATCCATGTTCAGATGCATCCTCTTTGTTACCTGGTTTATCCTAAATGCTCCTGCTGGTAGACATCTTTTCAACTAACAACTCAAAAATTATCCAAAAGAAAAATAGGAGATACCAACAGATCCTTCCACATGCTCAAAGTTGGAAAAAAAAAGCACATGACCTGGCCACATCCAGTTGAAATAGAGCTACGACCACCACATAGATATATATTCAAGTAAAGAAATACTCGGCAAGAGGAAATAACATTTGTATTTTATTAGTATTAAATGAAGGCAGGAGAATAAATAGCATTGTAAATTCTTTGAGAAATGTGAAATAAACAGTAATTCATTTAACTTTACAGGGAGGCTACATGACAATCCACATTACCCCTGAGCCAGAGTTCTCATATGTGTCCTTCGAGACCAACGTTCCTCAGAAGTCATACAAAGAACTTGTTGCTCGGGTTGTTTCTACCTTTGGACCCAAGCAGTTCGTCCTGACTTTCTTCACAAGTGTGGTATGTTTATAGTCCTGCATCATTGTACTCTCTCCTACAGCTTGGTACTTATGAATTAAATGATATAGGCAAGACACATTTTATCTTTCTTATAGCTAATACTCACAACTGCAAGAACTCGCAACTGCCACTGGTGAGCCCCGGTGGCTCCCTGAAGCTAATTCCTCTGCGGGGAAAATAACCCAACGGGATACATAGACACTGGGATACAGGCACTCGTACAATTATGTAAGGACTGGCACTGGGCCAGTCTTCGTATAATTGTATGAGGAGATGCAAATACTAAGGAGCACACAAGGAAGAGAATGCTGAGCACATGCAGCTCCAAGTGCTCTTAACTCCACCAGTGTACAGGAACAGCCACAAAGGGGATAAAAAACCACTTAGTTGAAAAGCAGACACTGGAGTCAGAGCAGCAGCAAAGGTGACCCCAACACACCACCCCCATCAGAATACAACTGAAGGTGGAGCAGCCAATCTATGGCAGGCTACCTCCCTGTTCACCCTAAACAGGTCGGGGGAGGTGGGGCGAACGAACTGGCACTAGTTTCATGAATTTTCCAATAATTTGTTGCATAGTTTGGAGAGTTCTTTTAGTGGTTCTCAAGACTGCAGTCTCATTTGAAGCCAGCAGTGGTTGCTTTTGTTTCACTGACTTTCTGGGTGCCTTTCCCGATGGGTGGCATACATGAATAACAGGTACATAAATGCCACTGCTCTCTGCACGTCTTTTGAGGAGGCCAGGTAGCGGCTGTCTGGACTGTCTACCGTCTGGACCTCGGTAGGAATATAGAACTCTGACTAATGGGAACTAGTAGTATGACATTATCAGAGATGGTAGCTTCAGAGAACCACAAGGGACTCCCCCAGAAAATGCCTTTTTTCTCATCTTTTATCATGTACCTACTATTTCTCCTCCATCAACCAATTCTTTCTATCTTTAGTAATGTTTCTCTTCATTAATCATCCTTGTACTTCCTAATCAAGCAGCAGATTAAGAAACAAACTTCATATATTGTGTGTTTAAACCCATATTATTATGACTCAATTGTTTTCATTTATTGCTTTATTTAAAGCTTGTATTTAGTGTACAGTATAATGAAAATACTGTAATTTCAAAAGAAGACTGTCAGTCTATGAATTTATTCCTGGTTCTATATACTGTAATGTATGTTGTTTATCTTCATCTTTGCAGGAGAATGGTGCAAGTATTGGCATAGAAGATGACAACTGTAGCGTTCCACAGTATTCTGATTATGATGTTGATGATATTCAGATCTGCCGCCTTCAGGGGTATGACCTGACTTATGCTCTATACAATAGGTTCCCAAGTTAGGGAATCGTCCCCCATGGTGAGCAGATTGAGACCCTTTTGACATCAGGCACAAAATCAGACAGCCCTGCTGAATGCCTTGCTCTTTTAGATGGCTACATCCTTACAAAGTCTAGCAAGATATTCAAAGAGTGGAGGTGCTCAAAGGTGGGAAAAAATAAACAAAAGGGCCATTTATATGTAATGTCAAGAGGATGCCAACTGCTCCTGTATTTCATTAATTTTATCTTTCTTGGGATAGTTATCCCTACTCTAGGTAGACTAGCTTTAGTGCAAAAGTCAGCTGCAAATTCCAAGACAAATATGGCTTACAATATTATTATGTATAGACATATGCCACTTACCAATATATTCAGGAAAGTTTCTAACACAAGCTGGAGTCAGTTCCAAGCTCGTTTAGAGTGTGACTCTCATCCGCAATTGGGTTTTGAGTCACAGCCATCCTGCCACCTGAGTAGAATTTTCCTCTGGTGGCAGGATGTGTACTCCTGAGTTGGCCTTTTGCAGCAGTCTTCATGATCAGCTTATAACCACACTTGTGGCAGAAACAGCCACTTCCATCCCCAGGATGGTCATCTCACACAAGGCATCAGTCCTGTTGTTTCCACATCTGCTGATGCATTGCAGACATCCAAATTTAGGATGAATTTCTATGAACATGTGGATATGACCAGGCTCTTTATGCAAGACCTGGCTCTGGCAACACTAGTGAGGCTCTGTCAACATTCTTGCAGCTAGAAGAAGGCAGTCAGGAGGACGGTGAAAATAGAATGATACAGTAGCCAGTGGGCATGACAATGGGAAATAAGCGTGTTAGCATACAACTATAGTTTTTTAATGTCTTCATCATGATTATTAGTAAATATTGTTATTCTTATTCTTAAAATCACTAAACAAATTGTAGCATCATTATTATTACTAGCCAATATTGCTCTGATGTGGCATTGTGGTGGTTCATAATACAGTACAGTATATTATTTTCATGGCCATTTTGAATATTTGTGAATTATAGGTAAGCAGCATTTCAGTAAAGTGGATCATACAAATTAAACCTTTGTCAATATTTAAAGAGCATTGAATGGTTCTAATTTCTATATTTGTATGTATTTGCATCTTTTAAAAGAAAACAAAAAACTTAATGGTGGAACCAAATTATCAGCATTTTATTTTAACGTATATAACCATTAATATGTAAATCCACTAACAGTTTTAGATATAACTCGTCCTTTGCTCGTCTAGATTGGAAATCTAAATTACAAGAGTACTCAAGTTTTGTGTCATTGAAGATAATTATTTAAGTGCTACAATTTGACAAACTATCAGTTTTTAAGTTTCTCAGTTTTTGTATACAAATAATTTTCTAATCATTTTAGTACAGAAATATCTTAGTTTTAAGGCATTTTGCTTTTAACTTAGAAAGCTTAAATGTGAAATTAATAAGTTTAAATTGCTTCACATGCTTTCAAGTTTTAAATGTTAGGTGTAATGGTTGATGTATCGGATGAAGTGTCAAGAATATTTGTGTTACAATTAAAATCTAATATTGTCGCAAAAACAATGTGCATACTGTATATCGTTACATCTAATATAGAAATTATACGCTCCATTTTGCGTATATATATTTTTTTATATGTAAACATACATGTACAGTATGTATACATTTATACATAATGTGCGTATATGAATGCAACAATGAAGTTCAGCTCTAAAGGCATGAAAGGAAGCCGAAAGCATTTAGCAGTTATATTTTCAAATTTCTCTGGTCATTCTTCATGTATACATGTACATATACAGTATATACATATGATATAATGTATATGTATATAAACATGTATGATGTATGTTATATACGCCATATAATATCTATACAACATATATGTATACATGTATTGACTGACAGGAGGTTTTCATTTAGACATGTTTCATTGAATATAACTGCATATTCCATGTTGATTTTCTTGTTTAGGCTTCTATTCTTCTGACTGGTGCTCTTGCATCTTGGTTTAATTGGGAGAGAATTTCTCCAAATGGCATATTTGTTTGAGGTTGACTTAAAGAATAACCTGTAGAATGTATCACACTTATTACAAATTTACACATTATTTCAAACCTACAAGATTCACTTTCAATTGAGAGACGTAAGAATATATGGATTTGTACTGCTGGGAGGTCAGAGACATTGAATTAGGGGAGGAGTAAGGAGTAAGAGTCTCTAGGTAAAGAGGCATGAGTATTGACCTATGCCTCTTGCCTCTACTCCTTACTCTTCACCTAACTGTGTGTACCTGTCCTCCCAGTTGTATAAATCTGGTATGTTCTCTCATGCTTCCTCACTTGAGAACAAGCCTAGTAGGCTTGAAATGTTTTGTAAATTTATAATAAGTGTTGCATTCTACAGTTTATTCTTAAACTTCGAGGTTGACTAAAAGAATGTATATGTACGTATATACATGCAAAAGAAATTATATACATGCTCATATAATATACATATTAAAGCAAATGTATAAAATAAGTTAAGTTGCAAACATTTCATTGCAGTACTTATCTGCTTTATAGCTACAATAATAAGTTAAGGCAAGTTATATTTTTTCAATTATTAAATCTGAAATTTTTTATAATTTGGATTAACTTTAATTTCTTTTGTTTTTAGCACAGGCAAGCTTTATTTGTAAGAAATTTTTAAAAATCATTATAATTCTTATTGAACTGAACAAGTTCACAGCCATAAAATTATTTGGACAGTTAGAACAATTCATATACACAGTATTAACAGCGCATTTCACAAAATATGAATGAGGTCTTGCATATTAAATAAAATTATTTTAATTTGCATGACCTATGAATAACTAGAATGGGATTAATAAAGCTCTTATGTTAAATAGTGTAATCGGTTCACACAGCATTATCTGGAAATATTAATGACATTTTCAAGATTACGATGTATCTAAATTTGCCCCATAGTTGAATATCAAAATATAAACCCTTACAAAAAATTTGCCATAGTCTTTTTTTTGTGCATCCTCCAGATTAGTATAACTGAATCAAATTGTTTGATATATATGTTTTGAGTGTTTAAATGTTGAGGTGCTCCTGTGGAGGATAAGGAACGATAGACGTCGCCTGAAAAGATATTTTTTTCCGAGGGAAGCCATCTATGGCTTGCTGAAGCTACTGTCCCCAAATGGTACCATCTCGCATCAGCTGTAGAGTTCTGTAGGCCTAGCGGGGACCAGCGCCAGAACCTGGCTTACTCGGGTACAGGGAGTAGTAACATTTATTTTTGCCACCTCACCAGGAAAGGCAACCAGAAACCAAAGTGTCAAAACAAACCACTGCTGGCTTCAAGAGAGATTGATGCCTTAACACCCACAGGAAGAATTCCTCCCAAGTATCAAATTCTCTTGGAACCAGTGCAAGTGCATTTTCCCCACCTGTTTGGGGGAATGGGGAGGTGCCTTGCAGTCAGCTAGCATCTCGACCCCATTTTTAAAGCTGATGTAGTGAGTACCAGGTCACCTCTTGTATATGCTGGCTCTGGTGTTCTGCTTGTTCAACCAAATGGTGGTGGGTGGTTGCCAATAGTGGCATTTCCTGTACAGTGTAGTGTAGCAAAAGCCAAGTTCTGAGTGAGGTTGGAGCTGCATGTGTGCATGGTTATCTTCCCTGTGTGCTTCCTAGCGCTGCCCTTGCATTGCCATGATTATCTTTCCTGGAGTGTTTGGGAGCTGCTCCCTTAGCTTTGCTTCCTTGCTTTTGGTGGCCCTCACCTAGGGTGAGCTGGGGGTCTTGAGACTTTCCCATCTGGCCTTAGGTCGGGAGCAACTTTGGTGAGGTACACAGGTGGTTTGGGTGCTTGGATTTATCCTCCAGGCTTTTTGGATGAAATTCCCTGTGGGTTTGGTGGTTCCATGGATATTCTCCCCAAACCTGCTCTCTCACTGCAGATTTGGAGGTTTACCATTCCATGCCACATGACAATGTTCATTTCTTCTACCGCCACTATGGTTTGTTCTCCCCATATTCTTCTTTCTGGCCCTCCTGATGAGGTTCAAGGTTATCAGGCAGTGACAACTTTGTGTTACGTTTTCTCAGTTGGAGTGGTCTAGGTTGTGTGCCCAGCTGGATGCCCAGAAGCTTCACTGTTTGGTGTTTAGAGACCCTGAACTGAAGGTGTTGAACTTCACTTTGGCTCCATTTACACCTCTTCCTTCCCTACAGACATGATTTGCCATTCTTTTAATCCTTCTCTCCCATCCCTCCCACTGCTTGTAGCCCAGGAGCACCCAAGGTCAGGGCAGGGGAGCTGAGTGGATAGCATGCTGGACACGTAATCCTGTGGTCCCGGGTTCAATCCCGGGCGCCAGCAAGAAACGATGAGCAGAGTTTCTTTCACATTATGCCCCTCTTACCTAGCAGTAAATAGGTACCTGGGAGTTAGTCAGCTGTCACAGGCTGCTTCCTGGGGGTGGGAGGGACACTAAAGCCCTGAAATCAAATTAACAAATCTACAAGGGCCGTGACGAGGATTCGAACCTGCGTCCGAGAGCATCCCAGACACCATCGTAATGTATTGTAATGCAGTAAGGGCGAAAGCTCCTCGACTCTGCTCCATTCAGAGTGCCACGCTCTATGCACTCGTCCCACAACCGAGCTGCTCTCTATCCCCGGCCTCACTCGGCTCTGTCCTGCTCCAGGCTTCATCTGAACTTCTACAACACTTCACTACACTGCCAACAAACCGACTGCTGTAACAGAGACTAAATATATATATAAAAAAAAACACATAACTCTGCATCTAATCAACCAAATACACGTAAACATATATTACACATGAATGAGCCGAAGGGTCGTAAGAAAGTACTCGTACCCTGAATGGGTAGTTAACATGTGGAATGCTCTAAAAGAGGAAATTGTGAAAGACACCTCCATTCACAACTTCAGAGCCCGATTCGACAAATAATTTTAATGTCAGATTAGTTAGGCCGTAATGCAACAGGTACGAGGCTAGTAGGCAGGGCATAAATAGCTAGACCTCACTCTCACATAGACACTAATAGGTAAGTACTCCCCGAGGGAACATTAGGAGCCCACCAACTCCCTGGACTTCTCGGCCAAGCCGGCGCTGGACACCCCTCCCGAAGTAGCAGCCAGAAAACGTTAAAATAGCTATCAACTTTCCTGTGACCCCAGATGATAAGTGCACCACACTTCCACTCGTCAAGGTTGAGCCAGTGTCCCAGATCTCGAGGATGTAAATACAAATCTACACAGCTTGACTGACAGTTGAGAGGCGGGACCAAACAGCCAGAGCTCAATCTCAGCAAGTACGGGATTCTCGTGTTATGTTGTTGATTTAGGGGCGACGACGATCGTGGGATCGGATGCGCCTCGGCGTACCCGTGATGGGTCAATCGCGAAGCCAGGAAAGGTGAAATGCCAAGCTTAATCGCAAAGAGAGTGACGCCAATCACTTGAAACTAAAACGCCATGTGGCGAAAAACCGCAAACGGGCAGATGATTGGGGAGCCCCAGGAGTCCCTTAGGGTGACAAGCACCGGCCCCGCTCCACACACAGAACACCAGGTAGCAAAACCAAAACTCGGCCCCCAACTAAAACGCAAAAAGTCATCCAGTGTCCTCTGGCAGAGCAGAAGCCGGCCGCCCACCACGACTGAGGGCACACCAGGAGCCCACCAAGACCCACCAACTCCCGGCACCTCTCGGCCAAGCCGGCCCCCGAACACAGTCACCCCGCCGGGAGAACCAGCCAGAACACGCCAAAAAAAATCTATCAACACTCCCGTGACCCAAGGCGATATGTGCGCCAGGCGTCGTACAATCGGACCGTTGAAAAGGGATGCCAAACGGCAGTAGCAAAGCCAAAACGCGAAAACAAGACGTGAACAGGCGGCTCCCAGGCGGAGGTGGCGTTCAGACGTCCGCTCGGTGTCAAGGTGGAACCAGGAGACCCTCGTGTTGTTACTGTATTATTATTGTTGTGAATTAAGGGGCGACGGCAATCGTGGGATCGTATGCGCCCCGGCGTACCTGTACATGGTTAATCCTAATGGCGAAACGAATGACGCGTATCACCAGACATTTCAATGCCTCGCATCAAGGAAACGCACAGACAGGCAGATGAGTGGGGAACCCCAGGAGTCCCTTAGGGTGACAAACCCCACCCCACACAGAACACCGGGTAGCAAAACCAAAACTCTGCCCCCAACTAAAACGCAAAGGTCATCAGGTTCCCTCTGGCAGAGCAGATGCCAACCACCCACCACAGCTGAGGGCACACCTACCAACTCCTGACACCTCTCGGCCAAGCCGGCGCCGGACACCGTCACCCCGCCGGGAGAACCAGCCAGAAAACGTTTGAAATCAATCAACTATACTGTGACCCCATGGCGATATGCGCGCCAGGTGTCGTACAAACCGGACCGTCTTCAAAGTTGAACCAGAAGTCTGCTATTGTATTGTTAGGGACAACTACAGCGACGTGCCCGTCAGCCGGGAAAAAGCACTGAAGCCGGAAGGCGAAACAGTACACTACCCGACGGTGGGGGTGGGGGGGGTGATGCTGCAACCATTCTAATCATTATTATTCTTTGCAATACGTATAGTTTGCATGAAGTTTCATGTTGATTGAGGGGCGACGACGACCGAGGGATGATTTGCCTTTTCTTCTTCGCAATAGTGCAGTTTGCATGAAGGTGTATCCTCGCGATGACAGCAAGAGTGATAATGTAGAAAGATGCTTATGCTACAATGTACCGAGGCACATCAGTGGTCACGATGTGACAGGCGGGAAGATAACGACGCCGTCCATGTGGGTGAGCCGCATGAAAAAAAGCGAGGGATGTAGGCAAGAGCCGGAGGGGCGGGAGGCGAAGGATATGGAGGAAGCACTTGCGTAGCAGACATGAGAAAACAATTGAGGTGCGAGCAGAGGAAGGTACACTGGTGAATGTGTAGGTGAGAGGAAGTCAGGACGGGACAGGGGCAAGGTACGTAGACGGAATCCGGAGCCTTACGGCTAGAGAGACGGGAAAGGCGCGCCAATGAATTCTGAAGGGCGTTGTCCAGCATCATTTCAAGCGCACTGGAGATAGCAGAGGCAGCTGTGGTAGGTTTGATGTCAACCATAGGAGAAGCGGAGGAGGGATGCATCGGGACAGCCTCATGAACGGGGAGGACGGATTGTGGAAAGAATTTGGTGAGGAGTTGAACCAGCGCCTTCTCGAGGGCATCCACAATGCAAGTGACAATAATGTCAACAAGATCGGGACTCAGTTGTACGGTGGGTAAGAGAAGAGGTCTCAGGGGGTGAGGAACGTCAGTGACAGCACCCCTCAGGCAGCCCCGCTGCTCGTCCCCTGACAGGTCAGGCAGAGTGGGAAGCAGTGGGTGATTAGGAACCGGGTCAAGACGAAGCAAAGCACGACTGGAAGGCTGGGTGACGGCGGGAAGAGCCTTAGTGAGCGCCACTACGTAGGAAGGACAGTACTTGAATGTGATGGCATGATCACCACCACAGTTGGGGCAGCTGAACATATCGGACACACAGTCACGAGTGAAATGAGAATCAGAGCATTTGCCACGTTTAACGTCGTTGGTGCAGCCTTGTGAGGTATGGTGAAAACCTTTACAACGAAAGCATTGAGTGAGACGGGGGACGTACACCTCCAATTTATGGAGGAAGTCATTAATCCAAACCCGATCAGGGGGAAAGAAGTCAAAAGTAAGGAGGGCAGTGCCGGTATCACACAGTTCACCATTAGTCCTACGCATAAACTTCCTGACACCGAAGATGAGAAGGTCAGCATCCTGCACTGCGCCTTGATGTCGTCCACACAAATATCAACAACATGCCAGACCACATATCCCACCAAACGGTCACCCAGATATTTTTATTGATTTATATATACAAGTTTTTTTTTTACATTCATGTACAGCCACTAGTACGCATAGCGTTTCGGGCAAGCCCTTAATCCTGTGTTCCCCGGAATACGACCCCCGCGAAGAATCTTAATAACCAAGTACCCATTTTTTGCCCCGCTATTTCCAAAAATACTCCAATCAACGAGCGTATCAGCATCAAAGGCAATGATGAACGTTTGTAGGCTAGAACTTGTCTTACCTTGAGTAGAGGGCGTGGACACGGAGGCTGACGGCATTTCGCCTCCAATCTATTAGCCTTACTGTGGTGTTTATTGTCCAGGAAAACACCCTCTGGATCCCCCTCCAAGACCGGGAGAATGACGTGACCGGAAAGCGTGCTAAGTAACAACGGGTCCTGAAGACCCTCAAAGGGATCGGGAATGTCTATGGGAGAGAGGCTGCGCGCACCACCATCTGTCGCCATGGTCGGACGGCAAGTCGATGTTCCATATCATCTATGCGGGCTGGTCGCTTGTCTTCCGTCGGCTCCTCTGCAATTTTCTCTGATCGCCGTGTTATAAAAGGAAACTGGTCATTATACAACTTTTATTTATTTATATATATATATACACGCAGGTTCATTGGGGTGTGAGAGTTACATTCTTGCAAAGCTACTAACACGCAAAGCTTTTCTGGTAGTCCTTAATCTAACAAATCTTTCTTTTTTATTATGCACCCTATAATGTTCCTGGTTTGAGAGTTGACTTACTTCTGGGATGATTTTTGTCGTTCTGTATTGAACTTTTTCTAAAGTAGCTATGCATTTCTAAAGTTAAGGGTTTCATGCTTGGATAGTTAGTTTAATTTACTTATTATGCGCCCCATACCCACCCTGTAGGCGGTAGTGAAAAAAGTTACAGGGCACATAATGGGTTTAGGGACTGAACTCCAAAATTAAATTCGATAAGCAAATTACAGTCTTGATAAGCTAGTTACACGGTTTAATGCATATATTAGCATTATATCAACATTGGGTTCGAGAACGACCACAATCGACAGTCTCAGAGCTTATTAACTTACATATACGGTGATTTAGTTTCATATCTGATTTGCCTATTATTCATAGGCACGTGCACCCACTGTTAGTTTAGTTTAGTTCATATGTGGGCCAGCCAGAGGCTTAGGGCCCGCGCAGGAATATCCCTGCAAAAAAAAAAAAATATATTATGCACCTTATACCCATCTTGTGGGCGGTAGTGGAAAGGGTTACAGAGGTGCATAATGGGCTCTGGGACTGAATCCCACAATTCATTTAGCTAAACTAAATCTAAACTAAACATCTCACATGTGTTAGCTTACTTGTCGTTTAGTAATATGTTTACCCGTTATACCTATAACAAATTTTAGCTGAATTAGTCTACGTTTTGGCCGAAACGCTTTGCGTATTAATGGCTTTATTTAATATGCAACCCCTGTATTTTCAAATATACATCTGTATTATGTTCTTGTGTATGAATATGCTAAGAATAAAATATTATTATTATTATTATTTGTACACATTATTATGCTACTCTTAATATATTCATTAAACTGTTTTCGTTTATTAATAGGGAATACTCATTATATGACAATGAATACTTGCATCAGTTAAGAATGAATAAATAAATTGATTAATTGACTATATAATCGATTGATTGGTTAGCAAAACCGAATATAGTTATGGCTTAGTTCAATCGACGAATAGCTAGTTACTATTATTACAAATTATCATAATTTCTGACTATACTTGTGGCCGATCTCGAAGCCATTGTTGATGTGACGACTTATACTGAATTTTGTAACTAGCTCATCAAGATTGTAACTTGCTTAGCTAAATGAATTGTGGGGTTCAGTCCCTGATCCCATTATGTGCCTCTGTAACCCTTTTCACTACCACCCACAAGATGGGTATGGGGTGCATAATAAATGAACTAAACTAAAAAACTTCTGACGCGTTGCATCTTGGGATGAGGCGAGAACTGAAAATATTAAATTTTTGAGCAGCTAGGCTAATTAGGGCCTACTGTAAAGAAGTAAAATGCAAGTAGATATTAATTTTTCCATATTTTGAAGGTATTGTAATATATTGGTAGTCAAGTCTGGAGCCGCCGCTCATTTATTATACCTAGTGTAACAAGTTCAAGTATGTTTATTGAGATAAGAAAGATATACATCTCAAAGGGATATAGTAACTTAGGCTATTTCTACCCCCCTGTAGTGTAACAACTGATGATAAAGTTGTATGGTGGCGAAATACGCCAAGGCTTATGTAAATGAAACCTTATTGGTAATTGCAGAATTATAACAAAATGAGTTGAGACTGGCTGGTGGTGATAGAGGGACACTGCTATTGGTCGAGAGTCTTTTCTGACGAGTGATCAGACTGCGTCAGGGTCGCCGGCTCTAGTTCTCCTGAAGGTGGCGGAGGTGACGGTCAGCCCGGCATGACTCCTCTTTCAACTGTGAGTTTTTGTAATCTACACTTCTTCTAGTATTTTGAGGACCCATCGTTAGTGTGCTCATTTATCCGGTTCATACCTTGATATTCAGAAAAATTCATTAAGGCTTTTTTTTTTTTTACTACTAAGAACTTGCTCGGCTAGAATTGTTCCGTGGCTGTTAAATTCTCGGCTAGAATTGTTGGTCGGGAATTAATATATAGATAACAATGTTATGCAAAATGCCGCAAAGTTAGCGTATTAGTTTTGTGATATTTGTTCATACCATCTTGCTTGTCCACGGGTGGCAGCAGAGTTAAAAATTGGCGAGGTGTTGCCCCAATTCTTAAGTACCGTTTCGGTACACTGAATTGTGGTCCGGACACATTGTGGTGAATTTTGCCAGAGTCCTTTAAATGGGCCATTAGGAAGCAAGTTTAATAAACAAATAGGATGGGTTGTGAATGAGTTAGGTGAATAGGCAAACTCTATATTGCATTTTGTACCCGGGGTACACATTACACATGTGAATGGTACACATTACATGTGTAATGTACATGCACACATTACATGTGTACCCCGAGCATGTGTTGCCGAGTTAGGTCTCGAAACATTTGGCGACTTCGATTTTTATATATAGAAAGTATGTGCTAAATGTTCCTTTGATTAAGCGGTACATTCTTGCTACGTCAGACAGGCAGTTTAGGCAAGTCCTAAAGCTAAGCTGGAATAGGAATATTCCATATTGGATGAAATAGAACCCCCATGAACATCACGCCAGAAATAAATACCTGCACTTAACATTTCCAGATTCTAAATTGATGCAAACACTATGCAAATGAAGGGACCAAATGTGTGTGGAACTATATCTTAATGAATTGAAAAATTCCACTAAATGGTAGTGGTATTTATTTGCATCAATTTATTCAGACGCTGGAAATGTCAAATTATTTTTAAATTGCATTGATGTAGGAAGTTTCAAAATAAGACTAGAATTTAATAGGCTTTTGTACGTGTAAGTGGCGGTGAAGTGAATGTATTTTGAGGAATTTGAAGTGGCAGTGTGTTGTCAGGACAGAATTTATAGTTCTGATATCAGATATTTGTTGGGTGATGGGCTAGAGGTATTTTGCAGTGGTTGAACCTCGTGCTTTAATACCGTTAGACAGGGATTGTTTTAAGTGAAAGGGGGAGGGCATGTCTGATTTGAGCAAGCCAAAACAGGGTTAACTGTTGGTAATGTGTTGAATAAGAGTGCTGACGTTTACTCGTAGACAAGAATACTTGCTCCAGGAAAAAAATCATCATTTTTGCCGTTTTCTTATGTATCTTAGTGTCTAGATTTACAAATGTGTATATTTTTAAATTGATTGTTGGTTGACATCCATGAATACTTTTAACTAGTTATTTACAAAGTCCTTTGAGCTGAAGCACTGGGGCGCTCGACAAATAATCTTGTGTTGCGAAGTGTTGAAGCTCGTAAATTGTTTAACTGTAAACAGTCACCATGTTTAAGGCAAGTTCTACAGGGCAACAGAACTCTACAATCGTTTACATGATGTATCTTCTGTCTTTTGCGGATTTTAAATTTATTGAATACTGCAAACATAGAAACGTCATACAGTAAATATAAATAAACCCGCCGGAGTTCGACATCGGTTAAATGTTTCATGAATCAGTCTGTCCGCATGTTACACATAGCGTCGTCTAGTTTTAATAAATTTAATTATGATAAACAATGGAACTGCTAGTTCCTGTTTGCCGTTCTATACTACGAACTAGTTCTCGTTTACATTTTTATTTACTGCAAGCTTGGCAAAGGCACCAACTTTGTTCTTACAGGCTAGCTTGTAAAGGGAACCGTAAGTTTGACAAACATGTTGAAGTTAGATTGCAGGCGTACCTGAATTTGCCTGTCCAAGTTTCCGAAGCATGGCCTAATACGGTCAGGTTTCTCATGATCGTAATGTTAACCTACAGTATTTTTGTTAATCTTCTAACGCCTGCAACCCTACCTCCTAGGAGGGGGGTAGAAGTAGCCTAAGCTACTCTATCCCTGTGACATGTATTTTTTCTTCTCGATAAACATACTTGAACCTACCTCCTCACTCAGGTGTTGTGGCTCCTGCTATGGGCGGCGTGCGTCATGGCCAGACAACATGGCTTGCTCGACCAAGGGGTCGACCAAGAGGAGGAAGACTTGGAAAAAATTTCACCTCAAGCAAAGGCGAGTTGCAAGATTTTAAGCTTTCTACACAGTTCAACTGCTTTGAGCATAAGTATATTGATAAATCTGATTGAATTTTGTTAATTTTAATGTAAATAGGGGTTCATCACATGAAAAACCAGTTACCCTTTATTGAAATGGTATTGAAGGCACAAAGGCAGTATTGCAAGACTTGGCCCTTGCTTAAACTTCTATAAAGGTCCTCTATTATAGTTTCTGGTATGTTTACCAATTTAAATAGAAACGGGTTAATTGGGTGTACTACTGGGTTTAAGGGTTCAGTTAGTATGTACAGTTGGGTTAGTTCTCGACGCACAATAGAGAATTCCAGGTTAGAATCCCGAGCGGGACAAATGGTGGGCACACTTCCTTTCACCTAATGCCCCTGTTCACCTAGCACTAGGTAGTTACTTAGTTGTGGGGTTACATCCTGGGCGGGTCAGTAATTCGACCTTGGGAGGAGGGGGAAGGGACCTAGATACAAATCCACAAGGGCCGTGACGAGGATTCGAACCTGCGTCAGAGCATCCCAGACGCTGCCTTAATCGACTGAGCTACGACATGGAGAGTTGAAACCGAAGTTCTACTGAACTTACTGGATCCTGCAGCCTCTCGGAGGCATAAACCAGGGTTTTACACAAATCCCCCCATGCACTCGAGCTATGTCAATAGGCCGTTCTCCCTCTTCGCCCTTACTTCATTACACAGAAATCACAATTGCGTGATGCATCAAATGATTGTGCTGCCAATCTGCTGTATGGTGTTTATTAATCTTGTTTATCTGTATCTGTTGCTACCCAGTCTCCCAATCTTTATGCACCCAATCTGAGCATCTTTACCATTGTGATCATTGCTGTCTTATTACCAATCAAGCTGTCAATGTAATCAATCAGAGCTTTGTTATATTAAAGCACATTGTTATATTAATGTGCTTTAATATACTTACTAAGCTCTCGTCTCATTTTTCTCTTGCAATGTATTTATCATTTATCAATTCTGATAGAAATTACCTACTTAAAATTATCTGTTAGATTAAGGACCTGCCCGAAACGCTGCGCGTACTAGTGGCTTTACAAGATTGTAAATACTGTACTATTCAATGTATTCTCGCAAACCCAATGTACCTTGTATATATATAAATAAATAAATAAATCATTTGATGCATTACGCATCAAATCATTTGTTCATTTGATGCATCACGCAATTGTGATTTGTGTAACCTAGATATAGGCCTACGTGTATATATATACTATGGCTTCTTGTCCCCCGAAACAATGAATTAATAAATTTTATCTCCATGCCTTACAGATGGCGGTACACGCAGAAACTTATGAAGTGCTGTTGTCAGCGCAACGAGAAAATGCCGCCAAGTGGCTAAAGCGCTACGAAGTGGAAGGGGAACTGGATGACGATATGATAGACGAGTATTTCAAGGTCTTCCTAAAGACGGAAATTTCAGACATAATAGATATCATGCCAAGACCTCTGGCAAGATTTGGTTTTATACTAAAGTACGTACTATAGTTAGTTTTTAGTAATGTAATTTTTTTACTAGTCTAATGCAAGGTGAAGAGCGTATGGGTAGTGTTGAATTTTGCTTCTGACTGCAACTGCATGCAACATCCCTTTTGCAATGGCTGGCAGCTTTAACATATGCCAATTGTAGTGTAGCGAATAAAACAAGTATAAAGGTTCACGGTACACGTGTCGAGTAAGACGTCTTGTGTGTGGGGGTGGTCCATATGTCTCGCATTAACATTGCTGGTGTCAACTTCAATGCAACACGAGCACACACTTCTCAATAGGTTCCTATAAATATTAGATTAAAGGCTTTTTAAGGTAGTGGAACTTTTAAAGTGTTAGTGCTGAAGGCAGCTGTGAGTGGCAGTATTTAAAGGGTTTTACACAATTGCAAAATTTAACTTTCATTAACAACTTGCATGCTAATTTAAGCACCTGCTAGGGTGCTTTAATTATTTTAGATTAGTGTCGTTAAAGCTAGTATTACATCGGAGGGACATTGGGACGACTGACCAGTCACGTGGTTAATTCGTCATTCGTGGACAATCCTGTCCAATTACTGTTTTAGACAAGCAATCGCTAACACTTTTCTAAAACTGCTTACATTGCCTTCCCGATTTGGTGCCTTCTTTTGTTAATTACTTCTAATACTGCTGGTTGCAAGGGAAACGGTCGTTCCAAACTGGTTACTCGGGAAAACATTACGATGGCATGCTACATACAAATGACCTGTCATTAAAGCAAAGAAACGTGCATATATATCTTCCGTGTACGATGCACATTCACTGACAGGAGGAATAAACGCGATACCCCGACACAATCACTAGAGTTGGGTCTGTCTTTAACCTAACGCTAAACCTACTTTGGATGTGTAGCTAGATATGACTCCCTGATCGAAGGGAAGGATCGACGCACATGTAAATTTTTTTTAGTGATACTGGCCTGCTCGTACTGCCGAGACAACAGCAGAATGCCTGCATGTTATTGTTAGGTTATACCAAGAGACCGACGATTTTAAAGGCTGACCTTCAGTCTTCTGTCTCGTGGCTACACTAGAGCTGGCTCTCGACAATAGCCGCACGTGTTACACTTTTGCAGATCACTCGCGTAGCAACAAGCAGGCGCACATTTGAGAAACTGCGCTAAAATGGTGCGCGAACAGCGAAGTTTAGCCGGGCGGCCAGTGGGTCAGTCACAGCTGGCCTTGGTCAGATGCGGTTGAGGTTGACAAGTGGCAGCAATACAATGCGGTTAGAGCGAGAAAACGGTAGTGGCTAGTCTGTTCTAAGTTGTGTTAAAGGCACTTTACTTAGTTTCTGTGACGGCACTTAGGGTATACACAAGGTTCGCTGGGCACTTGTGTGTGTGGGGGACACTTGTGTATCTCGGTATCATTTTCACTTACTATTTTGCCGTAACATATTAGTCTTTTGCAAATTTGATATTTTTTAATAATACTAATTATAAACATCAAATGTGCAGACATTAAGATTTATGGTAAATTAAGAAGTGACAATGCGAGACAGATGTACATAAACTCGACAAATGATTGGAAGACTGGCAAATGCTTTTATCTTAAATTGAAGGACATTTCATGTGGGGCATAAATATGCACATCACAACTTCCAACCCAACATAATTACCTGGCAATATAGACCTTGGAATCTGTATCAACCAGTCCGTTGCACAAGTGGGAGTGGCAGTAGTACAAGGCAACCAAACCTTGGGAATGGTTGAGTTAAATACCGGGTACGAAAATAACTCCATAAGTCGTCTCTGATACCAGGAATGGGCCGAGGGCCACGGGGCTATCACTGCAAAATAGGCATAATAGGGACGCATCACTGACTGTTGAACCTTATTTTCAGGCATCCGTGTGTTAAATGTGTGGTAGAGTACTTGAAGTGCAAGAGCTTTTGCCTTCAGTTGTTGGCAGAAAGCCTCGGCCACACTACAGATATGTTTGCTTGCCTGTCGGTCTGCTGGCAGAGGGTCGTCTCCTGCTGCGTCGCTTCCAGAAGGACCAAAGTGAAAGTAGCAATTAAGGAAGCTTAGGATATATCTACGTAAGCAGCTCAATTAAAATATTTTAGTTTGTCAATTGCATGTTATTGTCCCCCAAAATACGTATATATCACACTACGTAAAATCTTAATTGTTTAAAATCTAATGTTCATTTTCTAGCTTAAAGGTTTTAAATATTAGTGCCACCAACTGGGCATTAAAGTGGATGCATTTCATGGTTAATTTATCTGGACTATCCACCAGTCAAAAAACTTGTACAAATGGCCCCCCCTTCCTTCAGCGGACGGTTCCTTGACGTGCTTAAGGTCCCTGCTGCCTGATGTAGCAGTGCACAAGTAAAAAATAAGTCGCCATATGTTGTCCATGCATGCGCTAATGTTCCTTCATCTGAGAGTCGAGACTACCCAGCGGATGCGGCCGCCGTATTGAATACGGCCCGCCTGAACTAATGTTACTGTGATTTGCTTCGCCTGGTTTGACACCGGGTCAAGTGGGCTTAGAATTTTAGCTATTAAAAGTTTAAACACTTAAAACTTGTGTGAGTTTCATTAGAAACTTGCCTCCCCAGAAGCACACTCCTTCCAAGCTTAACGCTTGGAAGGAGTGTGCTTCTTACCGTATTGTTACCACTCTCCTCACTCTGCATACTGGTCATGTATACCACTTAACTAGATCTTAAGTCGGCCTTCGACATTCCTAACCATGTTCTTGAGGTACCACTGTACCGCCATATTGTAGCTAGATTGGGTCGTCAATGTAGAGGCTTACACACAGAAATCACAATAGCGTGATAAAAAAAAAACACATTCACAAGGGCCGTGATAAAGGTTTGAACCTATGTCCGGGATATTCAAAGCTGCGCCTTAGTTAACCATGTCTTGGCACAGTTGACCAAGACGCAGCTGGGAACATCCCGTGCGTAGGATCGAACCCTCATCACGGCCCCTGTGGATTTGTTCATGGATATATCACGCTACTGTGATTTGTGTGTAGTGAGGTTGACATCTAGATGTTACCACTGCTAGGCTTAGGCTACAATTACTTTTAAGAGTTTGAATATGCTGATGTAGATTTGACAAAGCTGTCAGCACAACTATTCATACTTTGCATCATTATATAATGGGATGTGGAAAGAATGGCGGAATTCGGATAACCACTAAGTGTCAAAGAAATGTGTAAGTACTGCATTCATAATATACTGCCAAGGACCGTTGCGAAGTATTCAAAATTTGCTTACTGTAGGCGCAGCCTGCACAAGACTACAGCGGCCACCCAGTTGGGTGGGTGTGCAGCAAGGTTAGTGACTGAATCACCATAGATGTAAACTGCCTTGTATAGATTGTTGTGGGCCTTTTATTGAATCATTTGATACACGTATACAGTCTGTGTGTGTGTGTGTAATAAAAATTGTTACTAGCTTCGAAAAATTCACTTCCTTAAGAGGCATATAATGGGTTCAGGAACCGAACCCCCCCCCCCCCCCTAGTTTTTATCTAACATTTTCCACCACTGCCCACGGGATGGGTATGGGGTGCAAAATAAATGGGAAAGTCCTTTATGGTGTCTTAACAAGTTCAACGCCTTGTTCAGTGTGCAGAGTTGAAAAAGGTTGCAAATCTCTGCCGGAGAGACAGGACGCAAGTTTCAACATATGTAGCGAGTAATCCTAATACTCGCTCCATTATCTTCATTATCGTTACTAATTAGCACTAACTACACAAGCTATAATCCTATCCCAAATTAAAGGTAACGGTTCTCGCATCCTTTCCTCCTAGTAGAGAAAGGTGAGGGGTAGTCAACAAATATAAGGAAGCGATATGAGAATAGACAACAGTACATTTTCCAGTCAAGAATGTAGCACTCGACATAGGCAGTTCTAATCGTCTCAAAGACGCTACAGCTTCGACACAGAACAGGCAGCAGACTAGGACAGCATCCAGCTACAACGCTCTCCCACATAGAGCTCCGCGACTCCGGCCACACTCAGCTCTCTGCTCTGTTCCAAACTCCGTCTCAACGTCTACGACACAGCTGTATCAAGGACTACTAAATAAATATGAAACTCGCTAAACACTGTGTATCTAATCTACCCAACAACGTAACATAATCGTACGTTACACATACAAGCTTATTTAGCGCCCTCTGATTATTTTGCGTATTTGATGGTGCTACATAGCCTTCCCGGTTTGATGCCTTCTTTTGATAATTACTTACTACTTACACATACAAGCTTTGAGTGGAAGAAGACGGAAAAACATCAGAACAGTGCCGTAACCCAGTACGGGCATCAAACTACCGGAAGGGTCGAAGGAGAGGCCACAGAATGTAAGGCAGTTTAGACAGAATAAGAGAAGTGTCAGGCTCCCAAGAAGTATGGGGAAAGACCAAGGCATTGGAGCATTCCACTCTGAGGTAAGCAACACGAGCTCCTGGGTGTCAAAGATAAACCCTAATAGTTTGGCAGCATCGCTATACATAAGAGGACTACCATAATGACAAGGGGACGAGGAATGGCTTCCGCAAAAGTCTGTCATAGCACAAGTCTCTGCCGTAGAGAACTTGAAGCTATGGTTGGTGGCCCAGGGTGACAAATTATCGATCACAAGCAGAAGCCGACATAGAGAGAAGAGACGTCACCACGAAAGCAGAGAATTTGATAAACATAAAGGACTGAGAAAATGCTAGGGACGGAGGGGGGAGGACCATTAAGGGTAACCGGACACAATTTTATACTACTTTGGAGAACACTTTTGAACTGCTGAAAAAGGTGGAGAATGCAGCACCACCTCTTGCCTGAAACAAACAACGAGAGGGGAAGCTTCGAAGTGGGAGATTCCCATAAAAGACCAAAAAATGCAATTGGGCTAAAATACTATCTCCAGGTGGTGTCGCAAGTCTATCCAGGTTCAAACAGAACTGCAATGACGGAGAAATTCGTAGCAAAGGCAGTACGAATGTAGACATCAAAGCCCTCCAAAATATCCATCGTGCCGAGACACTGGGAGCAACAAAATTGGGAAAGAACGAGTTGGCAATGATCTAGGAACCACACGGAACTCTCATTAATCAGACATACACCACTTGTAAGGATAATGGGACGAAAATCCTTAAGGAAAGTCCCTAGAGTGCCAGGTTGTCTGATGGGAAGAACTGCCTTGAGTCAGTCACTTGAGACTAAAGTAAGTAATCAAAAGAAGGCACCAAGCCAGGGAGACGGTGTAATAACATAAGTGTCGCTGGATATTCACGAGAACAAAAACACAAGGCGAGCGATATCAAAGGCATCAGATTAAAAGATCATGTTCACAAATGACCTCCAGGATTTGTCCCTAGAGGTCAGGGACATTAGGAAAGCAGGACATACGATCGCCCTGAAAATTGGGACATTCCACGAGGGGCATGGCAAAGTGGGACAATGCAGTTTGGACAGTAAGGAGCAGGGCGGCGTTCCATTAAACGTCCACGAGTTAAGCATGTATGGCCAATACATGTGAGCTCATCACACTGCCGTCTGTTACGGTGGGAGGAGGAAGAAGGCAAAGGAAATAAGTTACGTTTAAGAGTGCGCAGTTTGTTACCTGTAACACCAGACCAACGACCCTGCCAGCGGTCTGAGGAATGAATGAATTGGTTAAAATATGATAAAGGAATGCCTTTTCTGGAAATAGGACAAGTGTGGACAGCATCCTTAACAGCAGTGTCCACACGTTCATTTAAGGTAATACCATTATGGCTGCGAACCCAGTAAAACTGAACCGTCTCAAATCTGCTAGTGATAAGAAATAGCAAATGTTGAATTTCGACCACCAAAGGATACATAGGGTTAAATGACTCCAAGGCCATGAAGGACTTGCGGAAGTCGACCACAACGACAAAGGAACACTGACGTCGGAAAAGCAGTTGAAGTGCATACAAGATTGCATGAAGTTCAGCCGTGAAGATGCTAGTCTCCGGAGGCAGGCAAGACACTCGAAACGTCGTTCTCATCTTCTGGTGTGTGGTCTGGTCATCAAAGCATCAGTTCCGTGAGACAAATACAAAGTGAAAACTGAGAGATCAAAATTTGCAGCTCATTAAAAGTTACATAAAAAACATGGGTTAGGTTAGGTTAGGTTAGGTTCTGCCCGAAACGCTTTGCGTAATAGTGGCTTTAGGCATTGTATGTACTAGCTCTATCTATAAAGCCAACAAACTTTGTAAAATCTCTTTATGTATGTACCTTTGCCTAAATAAAAATTATTATTATTATTATAATTATTATTATTATTATTATTTTGGATATTCTATTGAAGTACAGCTATAACAAGAAATTAAAGATAAAAGGGCATAGAACTAGGACAGATCGGACTCAGGATCAGAGAAATCAGGGCAAAGTCAGCAGAAATGGTTGGGCTGAGCATAGGTGAATCGACAGGGACTAGCGAGGATTATATGTGGGATCCCAGATCTAGGCTCTGGTGAATGTTGAAATTCAACAGTCAGATGGCGGTCAAGGGAGTTGGGACAGGTCAAGGCCGAGTTGGGACAGAAACTAGACATGCTTGCTTGGTGTTTGCCTTTACTCAGAGGCACAAGCATTAGTGCACAAGCTTTTTCAGTGTCAGAGTAGTTAGTAAATGGAATGCGGTGGAGGAGGCTGACTCCATATACAGTTTCAAATGTAGATATGACAGAGCCCAGTAGGCTCAGGAATCTGTACATCAGTTGATTGACGGTTGAGAGGTGGGACCAAAGAGCCAGAGCTCAACCCCCGCAAACACAACTAGGTGAGTACAAGGGCGACGGGAACTCTGAAAGCAGTTAGATGGCTCCTCTATCAAGACAGGTGGAGGTGCTGGAACAAAAACAGAAGGGCGAGGTGAGGGGAATTAATGCCTTTTTAAATGCTGGGAAGGGAGGGACTAGGGACGATCCCTCCTCACAGAAATCCAACATATAAGAAAAGAAGCCCATAATCTACAGCTGTCAATCGCCCTAAATTGGATACCAAGTTACATTGGCGTAGATGGTAATGAAAAGGCAGACTCGCTAGCAAAAGCTGCCACTGCACTACCTGTTGTACAGGTTAAAATACCTCCAAGTTTTTCACAGATTAAGTTGCAAATCTAGAAGAAAATACTTCCAACTATCAAAAGTCGCCACAGAGCCAAAGTAGCGGAAGGAAGATCCACTGCGATCTTATGGTACGAACAAGCCACTGGGTACTACTCTTTCAAGCCTGACATAAAAATATCCAGACACATTGCAGTAGCCATTCCAGGGAAACCGGTGGCCGAGTGGACAGCACGCTGGACACATGATCCTGTGGTCCCGGGTTCGATCCTGGGCACCGGCGAGAAATGATGGGCAGAGCTTCTTTCACCCTATGTCCGTTACCTAGCAGTAAATAGGTACCTGGGAGTTAGTCAGCTGTCATGGGCTGCTTCCTGGTGTGTGTGTAGTGTGGGGAAAAAAAAAATAGTAGTAGTAGTAGAAACAGTTGAGAGGCGGGCCGAAAGAGCAGAGCTCAACCCCCACAAGCACAACAACTAGGTGAATACACAAACTCGGACTTGGTTACAAGTGCTGCTGGGATATAATAAACCCAATAGTTAGTGTCATATTTGACACTAACTATTAATACACTAAATACACTAGAGAAGCAGAGACGCCACTATTGCACTACTTACTGGAATGTGAAGCGACTGAAGCCCTACGCATCAAACTAAACATTAATCCAATGACAGCAGCTGCATTAGATGCAGATTCCAGTCACTACATTAGATTAGAAAAGCTGTTAAAGAATGGGACTCACTAGTGAACATTCTGCACCTACATCCACCACAAAGATAATGTTATTAAAACATGACTAAAACAGAAGAAAAAATGAAACAGGCAAAAAGGAGGAAACCCCACCTCCATTTAAAATTTTTACCCAAGTATCAGAGTAACAAGGTTATCACGAATAACTGCGCTTATTGTGCTTCAGTATTATAATTACTTTAATTCCGTTTTATATTTTTCCACTTTTGTATTTCAGATACAGCATGTAGTGAACTGAGTTTATTAAACTTGTATGTAGCAGTCAAGTCTTTAATTGCATCACATTATATATATCTTAAAGCTATTCCTTCAATTATTACTCTCACCATGAAACCCCTATCTTGCTGCGATTCACATTGTCAGGATGATTTTTACATCCTACACACCTTTCGAAGCATATCTATGCAGGCAAACCTTTCACCACAATGTTGACAGGGAAATAGTCTCGGTCTTATGAACAGAAATGCAATGTTCCTCCAAGTCTCTAGGATTCTGATTCCCTTCAACAACCCTCATTCTAACTATAAAAGGATATTCTTAACACTAAAACCAATACAGTGCAGTATCAACAAAAGATTTATTGATGTTTGGAATAAATTAAAGCTTATTTAAATAATTTTCAAATGTACATTTTTATACAATAACAATGTCAATTTGTATTTTTGTTTGCAATCTTCAAGTACATTCTCTATTATATCAGACATAACTGGTCGGTATACAAGCACTAATATACCGAGATGCCAAGAATTATGCTTAGTCTTGCAGAATAAACCCAGGATGGGCAGGAAGAAGGGCTGAAGAATCGTCTTCCTCCCCTGTTGTAGGGACACCCTCCACCAGCTGATACTGTGTCACACCACCAACTGTTTGTTGCAAGACCAATCTCCCATCAGCAGTTTGTAGAAGCACCTCAGAGCCATTCAGTAATGGGGTGTCAGCAGGTACATTGTCCTGACTACTGGTAGAAGAAGCACGAACTATTGTAGAGTGCTCCTCTTCACTGCCGCTTTCTGCAAACAGCTGCTTTAAAGGAGCTGTATCTTCAACAACAATCTGAATGTCTGGATGTGCTGGCTGCTGAAGCAGATGTTGAAAACTGTCATCCATGCTAACTAATACTTGCATACCTTCTTCCCCTTCCTGTACAGGCTGATCATCCTTACCACTATCATTTAATCTTTGTATGGATCCATCTTCTTCTTGCACGATGACATATTGCATTCCACCATCACTGCCCGTCAACTGTAAAACTGCTCCACTTCTTTCATCATCCATAAGCTGCTGTTCTTCGGTACTGCCATCATCATCCAAGTCATCGGCATTAGCTAGCCCACCAGCCAACTGTAGGATGACAGCTTCCTGACACTGTGGAGTTCCAACCAGATGGTCTCTCATATCATCTTCTGTCTGTGTTGCATGAAGACAGCCAGGGCACTGCCATACATCTGCTGCTACTGTTGATGTTTCCCCCTCACCAGTTCCTTCATCAGCCATAACATGAAGACGAAGTAATGGAGTAAGGTCTTGCCAACTTAAAGCAGAAACTTGGTCCAAGAAAGTAGTAGTAGCTGTAGTAGGATCCATTACACCAGATGGAATTGAAATGTCTGAAACTGAAGATGGTGATGAACGCGTTTTAACAGCATGACCCTGTGCCTGAACACCATTCGTGGAATGGTCCTTAAGGTGACGTAGCAAGGAACCTTGTACTACAAACATTTTGCCACATGCAGAACAACGCCAGCGATTAACCACAAGATGGGAAGCTGCATCATTAAGACCATGATCTCCTTGAATGTGACGTAGCAACTGGTGTCGAGTGGTTGATGTGTGCTGGCACACTCCACATTCATATGGCTTCTCCTGTGTGTGTGTTAGAAGGTGCCGTTCTAATTGTGCTTCACTTCGGAACGTGCGAGCACACTCATCACACGGTAAAGGCGCTACAGCTTGGTGTGTTAGCATATGACGAATTTGATCGGATTCTAAACTAAATTTGCGATCACATATAGGACATTCATACTGAAGTTCATGATGCCGTCGAGCTACATGGTTTCGCAGCAAAGCCTCTGTTCGGAACATCTTATGACAATTATCTGCATGACATATGTTGGGCGTGTTAGAACAATGAGTAATTAAATGTGATTTCAGATTGACCTGTTTAACAAAGGACTGACCACATATATGACAAGAATGATTTACTTCTGAATGGTGAACCATTACATGATTCATATGGGCTTCCTTGGATGTGTATACATGGCCACATGCTGTACAAGGAAATTCTTTACGATGCTTTCGTTTGTGCAAGTCCAGTTCTTGTTGTGTACGGAAAGTCTGACGGCAATAGTTACATACTGGCTGACCATCAGAATGTGCTCGTACCAAATGGTCATTCAAAGGTCTCTGGCGCTTAAATTGCTTCTGGCATATGTGACAAGTGAAAGCCTTTTCTGATGAGTGGGTTATCATATGGTCATCATAACGGTGGCGCTCAACAAATGACTTCTCACAAAGATTACACTGATATCTAATAACATTTTCACCACCATGTTCAGAACGTTGGTGCTTTCGATAATATTCCTGAGTGTCACACTCCAAACCACATTGTTCACACTTCCACCGTTTTTGACATCGAACTACATGTTCATTGAAATAACCAATTGATTTAAATTCCCTTTTACATACTGGGCATGGCTGAGCTTCTTTAAAAAAGTGACTTTTATAATGTTCTCGCAAATTGCTTTCCATGCCAAATTTAATTTTGCAATCTGTACATTCAAATGTTTTTTCATCCATGTGAAACCACAAATGTTCTTCTAAAGTATATATGCTGTCATAAATCTCTTGACAAAAATCACATCCAATTTTGTGTTTTTTAGGATTTTTGTTACCAAGTTTCAAAAATTCTTCATAATGCCGGTTCTTCATGTGCTTTCTAAGCAATGTTCCTTGAGCATATGCCTTATCACATACATGGCATTTATGTGGTAAATTACCTTTATGACTTAACATATGCGTCTTCAGAAACTTGGTGGTTAGAATTTTGTTGCAAACTGGACAGTTCATCTTTTTGGGAAGATCTTTTGCTCTTTGTCCCTTTAAGGGATCGAGCATGTCCATTTCTTCCAGTCCTCCTTCTCGAGTTTGTTGCAGATGAAGAGTGACATCCTCAGATGGAAGGGTAGGAATATTTACCCCTTTTCCTTCATCTCTAACCTGCACTGTGCCATCACTAGCAATAACTAACACCTTGGAACTAACAGCTGGAATGGAATCTTCCTTGGTTTTCTCAGCACAACCTTCATCTGATTGACTTAATTTTTTATATATACCTTCATTTTCTGACTGACTGGTGCTATCACTATTTTCAGTACTTCCAACAGGGTCACAAGTATGAATAGCTTTCAAGTGATCCTCTAGTGCTTCTTCCTTCATAAATCCCAAATGACACAACTTGCAAGAAAAAGCTGTATGACTTTTGCGATGAAAACGAAGCATATCCATGCAGGCAAACCTTTCACCACAATGTTGACAGGGAAATAGAGTCTCAGTCTTATGAACAGAGATGCAATGTTCCTCCAAGTCTCTAGGATCCTGATACCCTGCCATACACTTGAGGCAGTTGTACAACTTTAGGTTTAAAGCTTTGTGAACTCTTACCATGTGTCGGTGCATTGTACTAAGACAAGTACTCTTATATTTGCAATATTTACATGTGTATTCTTGCCCATTATGCATTTTTTTATGGTGATATCTAAGAGCCCTAGAACCATATATTTTTTGGTTGCAAAATGGACATTCAAACATTCTCATTTGTTTGACCTGTTCATGAGGTTTACTACCTGTGGGAACTTTTATTAACTTGTTTTTGCCAACATAAGGATGCATTATTTCCTTGTGATGCTCGAGGGAAGTTCCCATAACAAATTCTTCTTCACACATGTCACAGAAGAGTGTAGGATCTTTGTCATGATAAACACGTAGGTGACGCTCCATTGGACGAAAGCTATTGAAGCTTCGAAAGCAAACTGTACACTGGACTGGTTTGTGTTTCAGATGCATATGGAGGTGGTGTCTATCACGACCTCTTAACGTAGGAAATGATCTATCACAATCACTACATTTAAAGTTTCCTCCATTATGCTTGAAACTTTTTGTTGTATCAGCTTCTATGTGACTCTCTTGAGCATGTTTACGTGCAGCTTCTTTATTGAAAAATGTTTCGCTGCAAAGTTTACATCGATATTTCTTTTGACGTAAGACAGCACTTTTACCATTATCTTCTTGCTTTATTGCAGATACTAATGTGTCTCTTGAATCTTCTTGTACAATAGCACTCAAGACATCAAGGTTAATCACAGCTGCGTCATTAATCACAGCACGGAGAGTATTATCTTCACTCTGGGTGATGGTAACTTCAAGACTAGGCATACTAACTGCTAAATCTTCTTCAATTTCACTAACTTCAATGGAGGGGTTATTAAGATAATCTAAGCCTGGCTCACTTTTACACTTAATATTAGGCCAATTGTTATCTACTTCAATTTCTTCTTCCTTGATCTCCATTTTATTATTGGACAAATGAAATTTTCTCTTAAGGTTACCATTGTTTTTCCTCCTTTCTTTTGGCTGTGAATGCATTTCATCAATTACATTAATAAGATCTCCATCATGTTCAAATTTTACAATATCATGAATTAAGGCAGTTTCTACAGTGGCATCGAGTCCAAGTATTTCTTGTACAACATCATCCAAATCTACTCTATCCTTCTCAGCTATGTTTACCTCTCTTTCTTGTACATCCAAATCAGTGACTTGTATAATACACATTTTATCAATATTATCATCTCTAATTGTCTCTTTGACTGGTACAGTACATGGATTAGTTACTTTTTTCTTTCTGCCACCACCTCTTTTCTTCGTTTTTGGTTCTTCTTCATCTTCATCTTCTATATAGAAGTCTTTCTCACCCTTTAGAACTTCTAGGAAAGTATTAAACTTGGTTGAGCGTTTTCGTTTTTCTCGCTGGTTGACCATCAATGGTGGAGGCTCTGAAATAATACCTGTTGCCTTCTTCCTCTTCACGATATTTGGAGGTCTCCCTCTTCGCCTTTTCGGGGCACTCTTGGGTGGTTCCATTGTACCTCCTGTCACCATTACCAAAGATTTTGAATCTATAAGATCATTTTTTAAACATTTGTATTGTCTTTCTAGCTCTTCTTTGATGTTTTCATTAGTAAAAGACTCTCCAACAACAATAGATATAGTGCCATGGGTGTCAGTTACCTTCTTAGAAGAGTCTTTGATTTTGGTCATAATGTGACTGTCCATATCTGTTGTCATCTTTTGCAGCCTGTCTTTCTCATTAAATAGTTCAGAGCATTTTATACAGATAAAGTCTGTTGTTTTTAATTTCTGCTGAAGGGCAGATCCTACAACTTCCTTGAGTGGTGTGCTAGTATGTTGAGTGAAGCCCTTGAGGACAAGGATGCGTTGATCATCACACTGTAGACCAACACCACATACTACACACTCTTCAGACTCCATCCTTATATAGGTATAACACTGTCCTGAGAAAATATAGAAGTGAATGTAGTAATTCACATACAAACAGGAATCAAAATGGTTCTATAAAATTTGCTTTAAATTTAATTTATTACTGCTGAATAATTGTGACAAATATTGTAGGAATGGTTATATAGGTATAACATCCTTATATAGGTATAACACTGTCCTGAGAAAATATAGAAGTGAATGTAGTAATTCACATACAAACAGGAATCAAAATGGTTCTATAAAATTTGCTTTAAATTTAATGTATTACTGCTGAATAATTGTGACAAATATTTGTAGGAATGTGGAGAGTGCAAGACATAAATGCAAATGAGAATTACTTATTGAATTTTGCACAAATTTTTTAATTTAGATAAATTGATTCCTCAAAAACTAGTTAATATTATACATTAAAATGTACTGATATATCAGAATCATTAGTACTTATTAAAAAAATTTGCAATACTGTATCAGTATCAGTAAAATTTCAGTCAGTTCTTGAGGTTATCTCTCGATGATTTCGGGGCTTTGTGTTCCTGTGGCCCGGTCCTTGACCAGGCCTCCTTTTTTATCCTCCTCCAATACTTCATTAAAAAAAAATAGCATTGAATACATGTACAGTATAATGAAATACCTTTTTCTGATAGGGCCTCAGTGGCTTCCTGAAATTTTCTCACCGAGTTCTTTCCCCTAAATTAGTCACATCAGACTTAGGAATCTTGTATGGCATACTTGGGATCAGAGCCAGAACCTGCCCCTCCATCCTTTCACTGAGACACAAGGAGCAGTGAATTGTTGCCATCACCTACACAGAGAAAACATCCAGAAAGTAAGCGAATCAATACAGACAATTTTAAGGTTCATAGAAAGAAACAAACTGAAACAATTAACTCAGAAGATAGGTCAAATCCCCCCCCCCCCTCTAGTTATGGCAGGCTACCAACAGGTGGCAGCACCACTGGGAGCTCCCGGTTTCCATAAAGAAAAGTTGCTGGGATAAGAAACCCAACCCAGGGCAACACAAGCACAATGGGGAACCAGAGGCACTGTCCAAGTAGCACAATGACTGAACCCTGGTAAACCTCCTATTCCTCTGAGGCCGAATAACAGCCCATGACATGAAAACACAGAGGACAAAGCTGCAAACATGTGAACATCATGGGCCTGATGGTAGCCCACAGGCTGGCTAGACCTAATGACACCACAGACAACCTGGGGATAAATAAGCTATTGGAACAGGGAACCATAGAAACTGGATCAACAAACAGCATGTATACTGAAGCAGTGCAGATGGTGCTAAGGTAGTGATGAACTGCTGCAACTGGAACAGCAATCAAAGGACCTCTCCAAAAGTGAACCATCTCATTCTTCACCAGAAAAGAGGGAGAAGGCAACAAAGAAACTGCCTATCAAGGCTGGAAGATCAGAACCTATGCTCCCAAAGGAGAGTAAGAAGTTCCCCCATCTGACAGTTGGAAGTGAAGAGCAACTGAACCTGAAGAACCTGAAACCACAAAGCTGCTATTAGGACAATATCCAATTCTGGCCCCAGACATCACTCGGTACCCCTACTCAAATCTCTGAATATGTTAGACATTAAGTCACTGCACATTCTCTCATGTGTATTATACATATATAAAACGCTAAACTATAATGCCAATCCTGATCTCAAAAGCTTCATAGAAGGTTGTAACATAACCCATGAGCACCACACCAGAAATAAATACAGTTTTGATATTCCTAGAGTACGACTTAATCAAACCAGAAATGCTCTACAAATCAAGGGGCCCAGAATGTGGAATGACCTTCCCAACCATGTTAAAGACTGTACCTCTCTCAACCAGTTTAAGTTAAAAACGAAGCTATACCTAATAAATTCCCTGTAACCTACCTTACCCCTCTGTTGTCAACCCATGTATGTTTTTTTTGTTTTTTTTTTGTTTTTCAAATCAACGCTGTTTGAATGTAATTTTTTGTAATAATTTGTAATTGTATTTGTGCTGCTTTTTCAACAATGTTCCCCCCTCTTTTACCTCTATTTTTTTTTTGTTCTCAACACATTTTATTCTTTTTACCCATTAGTTTTAAGCTTTAGTCATTAATGTTTTTCCTGCCCGAAACGCTTTGCGTAATAGTGGCTTTAGGCATTGTATGCACTAGCTCTATCTATAAAGCCAACAAACTTTGTAAAATCTCTTTATGTATGTACCTTACCTAAATAAAAATTATTATTATTATTATTATTATAAGAAGGAAATAAACACCAAAACTGTATCAAGAGACCAAGACAGCTTGGGAGCATGAGGCTACCGGATGTGAAAGGCACGAGAAAACTCGTGAAATGGTACTGGCAGTGGTGGACCTACAATTTGTGGGACCCTGAAACTTGAATTGTTATGGGGGCCCCTTCACAAGGTCTGGATAATTACTATTATTTTCTTCAATGAAGTTGTTCCACGACAGATCACCGCAATTTTTTTTTTAATTAAACCATTATATCCAAGATTTTAAATGGGCCTGGTTTATTTACACCATTTTGGGGTCAGGGGCCTACCTTAAAAAATAAGATTCAATGAGCTGGATCCTTTTACTATGTCGTGGTGTAGTGGTCTAAGGCATTGTGAGTACCCAATACATAGGTTTGAAGCCTCATCATGGCTCCTACTGATTTTCTCATTAATTATTATTATTATTATTATTATTATTATTATTATTATTATTATTATTATTATTATTCTACAAGTAGTATTGTACTATACTCCTAATTTAAAACTCAAAACTGAAACTGTATTTATTTTAATGAACCCTAAGAATAAAGTAGTCAAATAACCCTTTGACTACTGCACAGCAGTCTCCGTGGTGTAGTGGTAAGACACTCGCCTGGCGTTCTGCGAGCGCTATGTCATGGGTTCGTATCCTGGCCGGGGAGGATTTACTGGGCGCAATTCCTTAACTGTAGCCTCTGTTTAACGCAACAGTAAAATGTGTACTTGGATGAAAAAACGATTCTTCGCGGCAGGGGATCGTATTCCAGGGACCTGCCCGAAACGCTACGCGTACTAGTGGCTGTACAAGAATGTAACAACTCTAGTATATATCTCAAAAAAAAAAAAAAAAAAAAAAAAAAAAAGACTAGGGAAAGAAAGTAGCTACTGTATTCAACTGTACAAATCTCTGGTGCACTCCCATTTGGACTACTGTATCTTAAGCATGGAGACATCTTCAGAAGGACATATTTGCTTTGGAGAAAGTTCAACACGGTGACAAAAATCATCCCAGAACTACGTCGACTCTCATATCAGGAACTGATGAGGACCATAGGACTAACAACACTGCAAACCAGATATGACAACACTGATTTTGTCAAAACCTTTAAAATACTGAAGAAATTGGAGGATATTAATCCAGACCACTTCCTTAAAATGTCCAATGCAACATGAACAATGGGCAACAGGTTCAGGCTCAACAAGCCACAATGTAGGATAGAATATCACCCACTGGGTTATAAATCTACAGAACCACCTATCTGCTGAAGCCATAAATGCCAAGACATTACAGTACTGTACTGCAGTTGAAAATCCAGTTCGAGAAAGTCCTCAGGAGACAAGGGGGACCTTTGGCAAGCTGTCAGCTTCCTGTCCCCATCAAAACCACTAGATGGATGGCAGCCTTCAGGTAACTAAGGGTATTGAAATAACCCATAAAATTACCTAAAAGGACTTAAATGACCTCCAATATACAAAGATAAAAAATTGAATGGAACAATCTGAGTGCTTCCCTATACAGATAATAGTGGCATAATTTTTTTTTAACTAATTTTTAAAAATATACACTATATTAAAGGAGTTGCACAAATCCTCCTTTGAGTAAGTCTAGCTAGAAAAAAAACATAAGGACAAATCTTGAGGTTATCTTGAGATGATTTCGGGACTTAGCGTCCCCACGGCCCGGTCTTCAACCAGGCCTCCTTTTTGTTATACACACACACACACACCCAGGAAGCAGCTCGTAACAGCTGTTTAACTCCCAGATACCTATTTACTGCTAGATGAACAGGGACATCAGGGTAAAAAAACTGCCCATTTGTTTCCGCCTCCACCGGGGATCAAACCCGGAACCTCAGGACTACGAATCCGAAGCGCTGTCCACTCAGCTATCAAATCAAATGTTTATTCAGGTAAAAGTACTTACATACAAGATGAGTTATACAAATAATGTTGTATTTAAAGATAGAGCTAGTACATACTATGCCTAAAGCCACTGGTATGCACAGCATTTTGGGCAAAAACCCAACTATATATTTGGGCCTAAACCAAATATAGTTTATAGGTATAACAGTGGTGAAGAAATTGATTGTGAATTTTAAATCATTTTGTTGGGGCTTGGAAGTGTGTGTGTGTATAATTAATTATTTTTGTATAATTATCAGATAAGATTATCCAGATTAGATAGATAAAATTATATACACTGTATGAATATAATTGTACATAAAAACTATGTGTATATATACACTTAATATATATACTTTTAGGCTTAAATCGAGGTCCCCCAAGGTTGAACTACAGTACTGACCTTACCCAGGATGCAACCCCACACCTGTTGCCTAACTCCCAGGTACCTAGTTGACACTAGGTGAACAGATGCATTAGGTGATAGGAAACGTACCCCCCCCCCCCCATCCATTTTTCTCTTTCGCCCAGAATCCCTAGTTAAGAGTCAGGAATGCATTTACCAATCTAAGTGGCAGGTAAATACTACTCGTTTCCACTTAGGGAAATTTTTCATAGCTGGAAACTGGCAAAATTTCTAGTGAAAGTTTGTAATGAAGAGCTGGGCTTCCATAGGGGTTTGTGGCACAGAATATAACCTATTCTACTAACTTTTAGAGGATAAGAGCTGTCTATATAGCCCGAGGTGACGTTTATTAAACTCATCTCTTGATGAATGGCTTAACTACTCTGCCATCCAATTCATCAGTGCCCACGGGAGACATTTTTAGTTTTCTCATTAACTAGCTCCTCAACTCAAAGCTTGGTAATAATTTTGGCCATAGGAGTAACTGTGGGTAGTGTTATGGGCAGTTGGGGAAGAATAGGGAGGAAATATTGAGACAGGAAGAGAACTGTTGAGTTAGTCGAGGTGACAGGCGGAGTGGGGAGGCCTCTGCCTCTTATACCCCATCATTGACCTCCTGGCTGCCTCTAGCACATAACCACGCCTCGATATAACACCATAGTGTCATCAACAGTGGCAAGGATAGCATATATATAGAGAGAGAAGCTCCCTGCAGGTGGGTAAATATCATGACTTTGGTGTGTAAACAAATGCTTGGGGGAGGACATTGCATCAAGTACCTGGCTTTTCGGTTCTTGTGCAATTGATCCCACATGAGCACTATATACGGGAAGCTCGTGGAATAAAGTATACAACTCACCTGAATTTCAGAAGAAAAGATAAGTAGAGAGAAAGAATTGTGTAGCGTGGCATGAAGGAGTGTTGGTCTTCGCGGAAAGGAACCGTCCACTAGCCAAGATGGTGGCGCGCACAGACCCGCCAAATTCAAATTGCGCGCACGGCTTACCACATAATATTTTCTGTTTATATGAAGTATTTCACCTTGACACATTACGTGAAATTAATTTAACTTGTTTTTAAAATATCTGGTATTCGATGATACACTTTGCCAAGAGGTTACATCCCTAAAATGATATAAGTAAGCTTATTTTCTATTAAATACCTTGATTGTTAAAGATTAGTCAATGTAATTTTTATCAAATAAATACTGTACAGTACATGGATATATAGTCTGGGTATGTATATTCGGCTTTTAACTTTGTGCTCATTAATCTACATCAAATGTTAACTATGATGTAACAAGATACTGCATAAGTTTCTATTGAAATGAAATAAATTTGTATCATTTCTTTTTTTCAGGGGTGCTACTTGTCATAATGAACATTGATGTAGTAAGTACTATTGCTATCGAATTTTTAGTTTGAAAATTATGAAATATATATACTATGAAAAAACTTAGTACTGTTTATTGCTTTTAGTTATTATTATTAACTTTAATATTCCTTCAATAGTAACTCCACCAGTAGCACATAACAAGCATCCTAGTCTCAACCTGTCACAGCACCGTTGTACCATTTCTAACATCCAATTACTGTAACCAAACTATATTAAATGAATATCAAAATCCGTCAATCTCTTTGGATATTGTCACTCATAGGTATATACTGTATGTTAAATGTTAGCATAATAGTTAAATACAATTCACTACAGTGTATTACAGTGTATGATAAACAATTAACACAAGTGTATTATTTTTTCAGTCTGTTATTATACCAGTTCATAATGCTGCTCCATGGCTTGAGGAATGTTTGTCATCTGTGTTGGAGCAGCAGCACACACTCACTGTAGAAGTGTCCTTGTTCCTGGACTCGTGCTCGGACACTTCTGAGGACATTGTGCGAGACTGGTTTACTAAGTTTGAAGATCAAGGATATGTTATTACTCTTGGCAAGGAAAATAATGAAAAACCCAAGGGAGGTATGAATCATTATTTATTACTGAACAGTATATGAAATTTGATTATTATTTGACATAGAGTATTTAAAAATACATGTATAGCATTTACAGTATTTGGTAAACTCCATCCACATCAAAGAACTAACTGTTCATGTTCCTTTTTATATACACAGCATATCAAATACCTGAGGAAGTGGAAAAACAATCCACTCGGAAGATGATTTTCATAAGTTCAACCCCTGATTTTCTTATATTTTCATAGCAATGGATATCTTTCCTCTTTATAATTTCATTATAATAGACATGTTTCCTCTTTATTATTTCATATTAAATTTCAAACGTTTAATAAATATATAATTATCTTTTCCCATAGTTGGATATGCTAAGAATAAGGCTGTTCAACAAAGCCGTGGCAAGTTCCTCTGCTTTCTTGATTCGGTAAGACACTACTGATATTTTTAACACTGTAAAGTTTAGCAGAAAGCTTTTAGTCACTCATATTAAGTTATATACCCATCAGGATTTAAAAAAAAAAAAGAAGAAAAAGAGTTCTTACTGTTGTTAAGTCGGTCTTTTTTTTTTTACTTTTTGGATATCTTGGCGACTATTCACAATGCATAGGTGCTGACTGCACAACTAAGAGGCCATAATATGGCAGCAAGTTTAATTTCCCATTGATGGGGGGACAGAAAGCAGGTTCAACTTATGGCAGTCTCCCTGGGACAATGACTACCCTTCCCCAGGATACAATCCACAACAGTTGTCGCTAAGCGACTATAAGAAATATTGCCGGAACAACTGTGGACATCTTCAAGAGAAAACTGGACTGTTTTCTAAGATAAATTCCAGATCAGCCGGGCTGTGGTGGGTATGTGGGCCTGCGGGCCGCTCCAAGCAACAGCCTGGTGGACCAAACTCACAAGTCGAGCCTGGCCTCAGGCCAGGCTTGGGGAATAGAAGAACTCCTAGAACCCTATCAAGCAGGTATCACTAAATACTCACTTGTCACTGAGAGAGTCACTAGATACTGTACTTAACGAATTATCCGTTATGGAGAAGAGCTCTTCAATATTAATCACAAAGAGGGTAGTATTCCTAATAAATGGGGAAAAAGCTATGATCATCCCTAAAGCCAATGGAGAGTACAGACCTGTGTCTTTAACCTCATTTTTTTTTAAATTGATGGAGAGGATAATTTTAAATAAACTTTTATTCTTGATAGATGATCAGCTGTCCAGTAATTAGTTTGGATTCCTCAGAGGCAACTAATACCTCTGACTGTATTATTATATATCTATGTAATGATAACCATATACTTTGTATGTCTCCCTGTCTTGGTGTTACAGGGAGATTATCGCACTGGATAAAGGATTATTTGCTCTTGCAGGATGATGTTATGTTACCAACACGATTACAAAAGCAGTATGAGATTGCATTTCATAATCGTGATGCTGTGAGTACTGTAGTAGTCTTTTTTTAACTATATATATGATACAGTATATTGATGTTTTTATATTTTAATGCATAAAAATCAAATCACATTCTCATTTTCTTTGTAATTTTGTGAAAAAAATAAGTTGATCAAGTTTTATAAATTTATAATAATAATTATAATATGTGTTAATATTTAATTTATTAACAATACAGAGGATCAGGTTACAGTGGTTACTTAGTAGATAGAATGTTTGTATATTTTTTAAAACTGCTAATTACACAGTGTTTTCAGCATAACTAAAGATACTGAGTGTATTTAGTTTTAAATTGAATGGTAATAATTAATAATATTGTAGATGCAAGCTAACTTGTACATCAATATTTAAAGAAATTTAGGAAACTGTATACATTTTCTAAATTAAAACATTGATGAATTATATTGGCCACATATAGATTCTGTAGCTTTAGTGGTAACTATAATAAAAGTACACTTACAGTATTAATTTTTACAATAACGGCAAACACAAATTTTCTGAATTAGAATGAAGAAATGTGTGAGATTTACTGTACTGTACTGTACTCAGAAAGGCAGATACAATATATAAATGCCTCCATGATATTAATTAGGTATTTCATTGGTTCTCTATAATTGGGTTAAGAGAAATAGAGAATTCGATTGCATTTGTGAGGTCATTCCTTAATTTAAAACCCTTTAATTTGCATGGCATTTTTAATTTGGTGGTGTCATAATAATAGAGTAATAATAATAATCAACTGTGGTGCAGTGGTAAGACACTCGCCCAGGCGCACAATTGCTTCGCAAGCAATTTAGGCCTTGGTTTGTATTTTGGCCTGGGAGGATTGACTTGGCGCCAGTCCCTAACTGTATGCCTCTGTTCACTTAGCAGTGAACAAGTACCTAGTGGTTAAATGATTTGGCAGGTCGTATTCCAGGGAAAAATTAAGATTAAGGACCTGCCCGAAATGCTGTGCATGCTAGTAGCTTTACAAGAATGTAAGAACTCTTGTATATATATACAAATGAAATAATAATATTTGATTTATGCAAGAGTACATACATATGATCCATGAACAGTGGTGAACAGTGCTCCTATTTTTCTGGGAGTGTTTCCTCATCAATGGCAAGTATGATATTTACATTTAAAGTATTCATAGGCCATTGCTCCCTGCGCCTCTCTGAGGGGGCCAGGTTCTGGCTCTGGTCCACGATAGACAACAAGAACTCTGTGATTGATGACCCCAAAGAGGATAGCACTATATCAGTATGTTTATCAGTATGATATATCAGTATCAGTATGTAACTTCAGGACATTTCTGGGGCTCACTCAGAAACTGGCATTTCATTACATTCAACACTGTTTTTTTAGAACACAATCTAATCTTGCCTAAACTAGTTTTGTTTGATTCGAAAACTGTGCCTGTTCCAAGATCACATCATGTTTACTGTATTTGATAAATGAGGATATAGGTAAGGTAATGCAAGTAATTTTTAATTGCTATATTTATATTCAGTATATATAGTAATTGATGTTTGATCTTTAGATTGTTGGAAGCAGATTTAGACGCGAGCCTCCAGACTCAACTTCACGTTACACCAAGTGGGCAAATGGCTTGACTGCTGCACAGCTTACTCAACAAATATATACATCAAATGGCCCAACAGTTATCATGCCAACGTGGTTTATCCATCGCTCTGTATTTGACAGGTAGGAGTGGTAGAAATTGTTGAAATTCTTACTGTATGAGAGCCTCTCCCAATGATAAGAAAATAATAACACAGTTAAGCTCAATATATAGTTTGGAGCTTGGGTAGCCCAGATACTTAAAATAGCAATACATAGCAATATGTAGAGAGTTATTACTAGAGAGTATTACTAGTAATACTAGAGAGAGTATTACTTAAACAAAAATCTAATGTTGAAGGTAATAAAATATTTCTTTGTGGTGGGTCCTTGGGGCTCCTTGGTGTTAGTTACCTGGATAACTCCAACCAAAGCAATGCTTGAAAGGTCTTTGCAAGTCATTTTATGCATATCATGGACAAGAGGCCAAAATTTGGCCCCACCCCCTCTAAAGAGGTAGAAGGCATAGGGGCTCATAGATCACCCTAACCAAGAAAAGACCACTAGAGAGGTGGGTGAATCAAATCATAACATCAGCAAGGTAAACAAAGCATAGAAAACTAGACCATGAACTCCTGAAACTGATGAACCACCAAGCCGTGAAGTAGTTGTCTTATTATTTACGTCTGCACACCATCAGGGTACTGCACACCTTTTTCCTTAATTTCTTTTTCCTTTTTCCTCATCTTGGTCACACCAAATGTATGACACTTTATTCAAATTGAAATCTCGTATATATTTATGGATGCCACCTAATATTAGGGTGTCTTATTTTTTGCAATACTGTGTTAATAGATATAATGTAATGAGATATGGGAATTTGTTTTATATGCTTATTTATTTTCAGAGTTGAAGGATTTAGTGAAGCAGGAGCAGGAACTCCAGAAGATCTTATTTTCTTCTTTACCCATTTGCAAAAAGGAGGTCAAGTGATACGCCATGATGAAGAACTTCTTATATATAGATACCATCCTAAAGCAGTAACATTTTCAATTCACGAGTCAGTATTCACTGCATTATTCATATAATATTGCATGAATATATTTTATGATGAAATGATAACAAATGTTGAATATATGTGGTTATTAGTTGGTAACAAAGGGAAGAGAGGTGCTGCATAGTTCAATGAAAATATCACAGAAGCTATTTATTTATTTATTTATTTATTTATTTATTTATGCATATACAAGAATGTACATAAGGAATGTGAGGATACAAATATGGTAATTACAGTCTTGTAAAGCCACTAGCACGCGCAGCGTTTCGGGCAGGTCCTTAATCTAAGAAAATTTTAAGGCGGTAAATACTTGCAAGATTTATAGACAAAAAAATGATAACAGTTACATGAAATGAAAAAAAGAAGATGAGAGAAAATTGTAGGTACAGTATATTAAAGCACATAGGTAGCTAAGATTAAGATTAACTAAGATTAACTAAGATTATTAAGAAGTAAATAGATGCATGGAAAATATTACTACAGAATGAGCTGAGACAGAGAAGAAAAGGTAAAGTATGAGGTGTTTGGAAGAAATTTGAATAAGGATTTTGTACGAAAAATTAATTATTGGGGACACGAGGAGTTAACTGGAGTGAAAGATGAGAAGGAAGGGGGGAATTGCTGACAAATGTGCAGAGTGAATGTTTTAAGACTATAACAATTAGAAATGAAGAAACATTGGGGTATAGTGGTGAGACGAGACAATTATTGGTGTAGTGGTTATAGTATGATGTATATCAGGGGTGATCCTGAGTGGTGGGAGTTTGAATCCCCCTTCCCCTCCCCTCTCTCTCTCTCTCTCTCTCCCCCTCCTGGCTTTATAAAAAATTCAAATGTTTATTCAGGTAAAATACATACATACAAGGGGTGATACAAATATTGCTGAATTTATAGATAGAGCTAGTACATACAATGCCTAAAGCCACTATTACACAAAGCGTTTCGTGCAGGAAAAACACTAAAGACTAAAACATAACACTGATTGAGATTAAAGTATAAAATGTGTTGAGACAATATAAAAATAAAAGAGGGGGAATATGGCAGAAAAACAGCAAAAATACAATTTGGTCGACAAACAGCATTGTTTAAAAATAACAGACATGAGTTGACATTATAAGGGTAAGGTAGGTTACAGGGAGTTAATTAGGTAGTGCTATAATTATTCAAAGGGTGTATTCATTTTATTGGGACATCTTTATCTATATACAGTACAGTACTGTACAGTACTTGAAAAGCCTGAACGCCTGGGTTTGGACTTTGGACAAAAACTTCCACTCGTGTGATGCAAAGCTATGAGCTGTACCACCACACCACAAAAGCAAGGGAAAGTTTTTATCAACTCATTCAACCCCATGCCTGAATGCATTCAGGTTATGTGGTCAACTATTTCATCTAGTCCAGGATTAAGCCATGGAACATACAGTATGAAATGATAAGCCTGAATGATCCCCCCAGGCTGTATTGTTTAAATACTTGACAATTCCAAATGGCCTGGTCAATGAGCCTCGAAATCACCTCAAAGTAACCTAAAGGTAACTCTGGATGGGAATAGAACCAAGGTTTTATTATGAGTACTGTATATTTGTGTGTGTGCGTTTTTATTATTTGTGTCTGCAGAATCGAGCCATTAGCTCTTGGACCCCGCCTTTCAAAACAATTATTTTTACTTGATTATATCTACTAGCAGCTGTCTAACTCCCAGGTACCTATTTACTGCTGGGTGAACAGGGGCATCAGGGTAAAATAAACTCTTTCCATTTGTTTCTACCTCGGCCGAGAATCAAACTATGACTATGTAGGATAGGACTATGACCCCCGAGCTCAGTCCATTCAGCCACGAGGCCCCTCGTGCCATTTGTGTGTGTAATTACCTAAGTGTAATTACATGATAATTATGTGTGTGTGTATGTGTGTTTACCCCAGTGTAGTTACAGGATGAAAACTACACTCATAGTGTCCCCGTCTTTCCAGCACTCTGATATATAATGCTTTGAAACTACTGATGGTTTGGCCTCCACTTTCTCATTCAACTTGTTTCAGAAGTATTGGTATTTAATATTACCATTCTATATTACCAGTATTTCTGTAATAAGCTTTTAATACTATTGTGTTTCTGCTACATAATGCATGTTTATTTGTGTAACCTATGAGTAACAGCAACAAAACATTCTTAGGAAATGGTTTAGCAGAGGCACGAGACTGACATAGTAGGGCAGGGGAAGTGTACTGCCTTATTTTTTTTGGGGGGGGTCATATAATTTGGCAAATATAAGCCTAAACCTGAATTACAACTCAAAATTTTAAGGGTTGACCTATGTGCCGGATCGACTTGTATGCCAGCATATATGATACTACATAAGGATTGTACTCCTGTAGGCTGTAGCATGCCTTTGAGAATCATAATTATTGTATTACATTACAGGCAAACTATTTGGGATTTAAGAGTAAAAGAAATAGAAGAACGAGTGCTACGTTCCTGGCAATCTTTTACAATATGGAATGCTGGAAAGCAGGGACGCAAGTTCTATAGATCTCTCTTGGCAGATAGTCAAAAAAAGGTGACTGCGTTTTGTGATGTGGATGTCAATAAGATAGGGTCATTTTACACATATGAAGAGTCTTGGCAAAAGTTGAAACCAAAAGTACCAATTATTCACTTCAAAGAAGCTAAACCACCATTAATAATCTGCATGAAAATGGTAAGTTTATTTTTGTTCCAGTACTGTTAACATACGGATGTCACATTTTCTTCATAGTTTTGTAAAATCTAATAATTATTTTCACCATGAATGCAGAAATTGATGTAAGGTTGCATCATTTAGCATCAGTTATCTCAGTCTAGATTAGAGGCTTGTTGCTGCTAAAAACAACATCATTGAATGTAACGAAATGCCTATTTCTGGAGGAGCTTTGATGGTTCTCTGAAACTATCTTGCTGAAATAGCTTCATACTAAAGGGTCATATCAGTTGAGAAAGATCTGTTTAGCCTACTGGGGATAAGATCCAGAGCCTGGCCCCCTCACAGAGGCACAGGAAGGTGATGAAAACCTGCCATTTCACCAGAAGGAGCCTCTAGGAAATCAGCAAAGCTTTACAGACAACTGGAAAGTTCATAGAAAACAAAGCCTCAGAACCTCCAGTGAGATACGTGGGGTGAGCTAGCTCACACTGCTTTCAAGAGATTCGATTGTTTTTTTACATAGTTGGGGGAGTTAAATAGGTAGATTTTGAGGCTTCAGTCTATTTTGAACCTAGCAGTGGTTTGTTTATGTTTAGACTCTGACTTTCTGAAAGCCTTCCCTGGTGAGGTAGGCAAAATGTCACTGCTTCCTATGCCTCTGTGAGGTGGCCAGAATCTGGCACTGATCCCCTGTAGGCCTAAGGAACTCCACGGCTGATGTGACCTGGTAGATGGGAACCATCTCGGTGCATAACTTCAGGGAGCCGCAAGATGCTTTCCCAGTAATTTAAGTGAAATAGCAGTATCTCTTTTTTAGATTTTGAAAACAAAATTTATTAGCAAAGAATTTAAAGAAATTTGATTATACAGTACTATATTATGTTCCAGATTTTTGGGGTGTCACTACTACTGTACAAAGTATTTATTTTATGATTATTTCACCAAATTTTGTGCATGAGATACAGTATACAGTACTGTGGTGGTGGGATGGATATATCACCCTCAATCATCAAAAATATGTACACTGGCCATAATCCATTTTTGAGTATAATATAATTTTCAGGAGCTGACAAATGGTGTGTTTGAGGAGAATCTGGCTTCACTGCAGCTCAGGGAGGGAACAGATTATTTCCATTTCAACTAACTACGTAATGGTATTACAAAATATAATAAAAGGTATTAACAACAGTATATATTTATTTTCCCATATGATGCAAAGTTTTTAATCTTAGTCACTCATTAATTTCACTAAATGATGAATAGATCTTGTATACATGTATCTTGTATCTATATAAGCAGTTCCATGATAGTAGAGTTTAGTTTGGTCTCTTATTGTTTATAATGAATGAGATTTTTTTCAGATTTGTCAGTGTTTACGGTGAGTTATACTAAAAGTCTCCAGATACCACAGCTGTGCTGTTCCTATACATAACAGTATATTTTATATTTATCTCGCTCATATTTTTCCATTTGTTCTCTATCCCACTTTCTACTTCTCAACTTTTATTCCCACTTAAATATGCTTACCTAATCAGTTTTCTCCAGATGTCTACCAGAGCAATGTTTTTTTTTTTTGAGCTTGTTGCAATTGTAATGACATGTTGTGATAGCTGATACGAGGATGCTTGTGCGAGGCTGATAGAAGAGAGTTTGAGCAGGGCCAGGTTTAGAGAGCTAGAAAGAGGGTGAGAGCATAGAGCGCGAATGCAGGATGAGAGCTGGTAGTTCAAGTATAACCGGAATCTGGCTGTCTGCTCTATGGTGAGGTTGTACTGTACCATTTTGTGAGAGTTAGAACTAGACTCGTCAAATGATACATCGTTGCTGATGAATGACGATGGTGTTGGAGAAGATCCACTGTATATTCAGTCCATTTGTCACTGAACTACTGTTGAAGTTAGATTGACGATGCTCTGTTCATGAGAGCTTATATTCCACTCTTCATCTGACTTGCCAAGTTGACCATCATCTTGCTTGTTACCTTTTAAGTGTCCTGAGTGATTCCTGGAACACTTGGGAGGAAGTATCAATTGTAATTAGTGTTCTTATGTTGTTACTATGTTCTTGATGGCTTATATTCCATGTGTCACCTGACTTGCCAAGTTGATCATCATTCTGCATGCAGGGAAAATTCATTGGTCACCTTTGGCTTTCCTAAGTGATTTGTGGATTGGATTTGTGCAATTTCTCCAGCTTTGAAAGGGGCTGTCATTGTGCAGCAGTACTCCACTCTAGAGAGCACAAGCGTTTTGAAAAGTATCATCAACGGTATAGCATCTCTAGTGTGAAAAGTTCTTGTTATCTAACCTGTCATTTTTCTTGCAGTTGTGATGGCTACTTTATGGTGATTAGTAGCTGACACATTAGAGTTAATTATTGTGGTATGCTACAAAGAAAATGTGTGATACTTTGACCTGATTGCCAGTTGCCAATGACAAAAAAAATCACACCTTATGAGTGAAATCCACACACACCTAAGTGATTTGTGGATTGTTGAGAACATGTATTAGTTGTAATTACAGATGTCATTAATAGTCAGTGAATATGATTGCAAATGTCATTAGCAATTATGGTGATTAGTAGCTGACGCATTAGAGTTAATTAATGTGGTATGCTACAAAGAAAACGTGTGATACTTTGACCTGATAGCCAGTTGCCAATGACAAAAAAAATCACACCTTATGAATGAAATCCACACACAACAAAGACCCTAAATGTATTAGGACCAAGGTAATCCATCTCCTTATTGACAGACCACGTGACCTCCATTGAGACAAAGTGATTAGCTACTGAAGAAAGTATTACTAAATTTATGTAAAGGACTAGAAGGCTCAAGATTAAATCCAAGTTCAGAGGCATTGTTAGAGCCACCAAAAAAGGACGATATAAAGAAGAAAAGGAATAGAAAGGAACCAGGACTCTTGAAGAGCTAGAAGCTGCTAGAACACCCATGAGGCCATACTGATGTTTAGACAAAACTCAAAGGTGTTAGAGAACAATAAACACCATCTTTCCATACAGGTGACAAATCCACCCTTAAAACACTAAATTCAAAGAGTAGTTGATGGACAGGGAAAGAAATTGGGTTGTGGTAACGGGAGAGCAGGGCCAGAAACCCGAGCTAAACTGAAGAGAATCCTACATCATGTGGTTCCCAAATAGTTAATGAATAGTTATTCAACTATAAATCTCTGGTGTGCCCCCAATTAGATTATTGAGTCCAAGCATGGAGACCTCGTCTTCAGAAAGACAATTTTTTTGGAGAAAGTTTAGCACCGTGCAACTAAAATTTCCAGAACTAAGTCAACTTTCATGCCAGGAAAGGTTGAGGGGCCTCAGGGCTAATAACACTGCAAACCGGACATGACAAGGCTGATTTCGTGGACAATTTTAAAATGCTGAATAATTTGGAGGATACTGATCCAGACAACAGTTTCAAAAGGTCAGATGCAACACAAACAAGGAGACAAGGAGCAACTGTTTCAAGCTCAACAAGTCACAATGTAGGACATAAACCAGGAGATGCTTCTTCACCCATAGGTTTATAAACCCAGGGAACTGCCTACCCGCATAAGCCATTAATTAATGCCAAAACTGTTGAATTTCAAGATCCAGTAAGATTCAATCATCAGGATGAATTGGGAACCATTAACAACCCCCCTCTCCCTCTTCCCCCCCCCCCCCCCCCCCCCTCTCTCTCTCTCTCTCTCTCTCTCTCTCTCTCTCTCTCTCTCTCTCTCTCTCTCTCTCTCTCTCTCTCTCTCTCTCTCTCTCTCTCTCTCTCTCTCTCTCTCTCTCTCTCTCTCTCTCTCTCTCTCTCTCTCTCTCTCTCTCTCTCTCTCTCTCTCTCTCTCTCTCTCTCTCTCTCTCTCTCTCTCTCTCTCTCTCTCTCTCTCTCTCTCTCTCTCTCTCTCTCTCTCTCTCTCTCTCTCTCTCTCTCTCTCTCTCTCTCTCTCTCTCTCTCTCTCTCTCTCTCTCTCTCTCTCTCTCTCTCTCTCTCTCTCTCTCTCTCTCTCTCTCTCTCTCTCTCTCTCTCTCTCTCTCTCTCTCTCTCTCTCTCTCTCTCTCTCTCTCTCTCTCTCTCTCTCTCTCTCTCTCTCTCTCTCTCTCTCTCTCTCTCTCTCTCTCTCTCTCTCTCTCTCTCTCTCTCTCTCTCTCTCTCTCTCTCTCTCTCTCTCTCTCTCTCTCTCTCTCTCTCTCTCTCTCTCTCTCTCTCTCTCTCTCTCTCTCTCTCTCTCTCTCTCTCTCTCTCTCTCTCTCTCTCTCTCTCTCTCTCTCTCTCTCTCTCTCTCTCTCTCTCTCTCTCTCTCTCTCTCTCTCTCTCTCTCTCTCTCTCTCTCTCTCTCTCTCTCTCTCTCTCTCTCTCTCTCTCTCTCTTCTCTCTTCTCTCTTCTCTCTCTCTCTCTCTCTTCTCTCTTCTCTCTCTCTATATATATATATATATATATATATATATATATATATATATATATATATATATATATATATAATATAGTATAAATATTTTATATATATATTAGTATTATATACTGTATATATTGTGCACAGAGGAAGCAATAAATTCAATACACAGAGTACTTGATATTCAAACACGACCTATATTCATGCCACGTAAGTCTTGCATAAATTTAAAACATAAAAAAAAAGCAGGAGGAATCCTGGGGGTAGGATTCTGCCCGCGAAGGTCATTCATATGTTCTGAGCATTATGGAATGCACATAGACCAGTCGCCTTATATATGCATTGTTTAGCCGTACAGCGCTTTGGTAATATTTTATTCAACACAAATAAGTTTGGTTTATATGCTTGTTGTGTATTATTGACAGGTGTTCAATCCTCAAGGCTATATTATTACTATTTCTTACGTTATTTTATATATAATAACAGGTGTCGGGTTCTTATTTTAGTTATCTGTTGATTCGGTTTTTGTAAAACACATTAAAGCACAATGATAGATGTTTTGCTGTGTGTTGTATATTTAATGTAGACAAATAAAGAGTATCTAGTTAAAATATTAGCATTCCTTTCATATGCCAATATTGGGCATTACAAAAAATAATGCCCAATACGCGGAGAAATCCGAATTGACGTTAATGACTGCAAACATTCTTGCAAACTATTCCGATAAAAAGGCCAATTAGAATATATAATAGCGCAATGAACGGTAAATATATTAAAAGCTGCTGGAGCAGGGGGTAAAAAATGTGATAGAGAAGGGCGCAGGGATGGCGGGTAAATCGGAGCGTCCCACATGTCAGCTGAGATGATGAATGCGCTGCAGTGACAGACGACAAATGTAAACAAGTGGTGCCGCCGGTGATGGGTAAGTCACTGCCATTCCCTTCACTGTCCCCATACTAAACCCTTAGAGGTAGTGGGTGTGGTGCCGGTGGTGCCAGGAGCCCACACGCACCAGAGGTTGTTATTACGGTGTTAGGAAGCCAGCAGCAGGAGGAACAAAGAGCAAGAGTTGGGAGGAAAGCTTCCCCAAGCAGTGTGGAGATGTTATCCCACCTTCAGCATCTCTCCCTCCCTGCTGCTGGCTGATGCGAGGTACACACTCACTCTTCTTTGTTCTTGACTCTTGTCAAGGCAGGAATCATTCATATATAAGCTGTGTCTGGAGTGTATAACTAGATTATAATTTATAGCCTTATTAGTGATGTTGTTCATTCATTATTTGAGGACAAAATATTTTAGTTTGTGTGCAGTGACATATGATTGTTGTTAGTAAAAGTATTTCAGATCTTTAATACAATATCAATTTGGTAGTTGAAAATTTATACACATTTGTGGACTGGCAGTATAATGATTTATAATCAACATAGTTTAAAGCATACTAGAGTATGTCCTTCTACCCAAACCAAAAACCACTGTTTAAAAAAAGATGGAAATATTTGAATTTTGACAAAGGCTGTCTCACTTCTGTACAAAGAAATTTAAGTAAATGACATAATCTTGGTGAGCATAGCCTGTACAGGTATTACTTGAGGCAGTCTCTCGAGCAGTGGTACCCATATGGTGATTCAGTCAAGTTTCAGCAATCCAAAGAACACATTATGTTCAGTGTGTGTGTGGCAATGGCTTGCAAGTTTTTTGAGTATTAAAAAATATGGCTGTAAATCCAAAAAGCTTGGGAATCACTGATTCTAGAGTAGTCACATTCCTTGTGCTTGACAAGGAATGGACTCATGCTGGGGCCGCATACTCTTGGATTGGTCTTACATATATAGTATACAAGGTTCTGAATGATTCCTTGCACAAGTTTCTAAAGGCAGTTCTGATGTTAGCCAGCCTTGCATACAGGCTTATGATGTGGGCTTCAGGAGACAGGTTCAGCCTGATATTAACTCATAGTTTTCTCTTTCTGTCCGATTCATGGAGGACTTTCTCCCCCATTCGGTATCCAGTGTCTGGCCTCCTGTTCCTTCTGCCAAGTTTCATTACCTTACATTTACATGGGTTGAACTTTAGTAGTCATTTGTTAGACCATTCCTTCAGTTTGTCTAGGTTATCTTGTAATGTCGACTGTCTGTCTCTGCCTATTTGTGTCTGTATTTTTCTCTCCCTCTTAAAAAAAATATAATTGTCTGCCATCAGTGTTTGGGTGGTTGCTGGTGAGAGGGGCTTTGCTGTGTGAAATGCAAAAAAAAAAAAAAAAAAAAAAAATATATAGAATAGTAACCCCATTTACCTTGAGAAAGGTAAAGGCTTGAGAAACCTTTAAGGCTGGTTGAGGATCTTGTGTGTTTTGTGACTACAGGCAAATTATGAATATCAGGAAATTTATGTTAATTTTCCCATGATCAGTGAATAATGGTGAATATTACTATAAGATTTTTTCTTAATGTTTCCAAAATTAGCTGTGTAGCCAGTGGGCAGTCCAAAATCATCATGGGGGGGGGGGGATCTAAATGTGACCTCGACACACTATTCTCTTTTGAGTTCTGGCAACCTTGACCAGCCTATGCTCATCCCGTAGGATACCTAACCTATCTTAACCTAATCTAACATAACTTCGTCAATAATTTATGTTCCTAATATAATATAATAATAATAATTTAAATAAACCAATTGGAAACAATTTGTTGTAAATAAAGCAAATCACTCGGCCTATTAGGCAAATCGGGCCTTGCATAGTAGGCCGAGTGTTCTGGCTACTAGGTACGACATATATATATATATATAATATATAATAATAATATAATACACCGGATATATAATTCATTTTAATTTGATGCATCTGCAGCTGGGTAAGGCAACATGGTATGTGGTGGGTGGTGCTGCACCTGGGACGGGGAACAACACCAGTTGCAGGAGAGAAATGGCACGGACAAATGCTCAGCTTCATCCAAACCTGGACACAGTTCTCCAAAGTCATGGGATCAAGACATTCCTGCACCAGGTATAATTGTGCATGATTTAGAGAGTTATGGTCTTACTGAAATGGTAAAAAAGAAATTGTATGAAATTAATTCATTGCATTATTGTTGAATGTCAATGCAACGTACTGTATTGCATTGACGTTCGTACATTGACTAGATCAACTTTCTTAATTTGCTCTTGCTATCAAACTTCTTGCAATTTTCTGCAATTTTTTTCATATATGGCAAAGAACACTGCATATTCATTCAAACATGTCACTAACGGATATTTATCCCAATTAAAGTCCTCTTTCACTCCCGCTGCAGGTGGTCTTGCCTTTATACCTCCCTACACTTATTTACGCTCTTGCTTTTTTTCCTGGTTTTATAGTGTCTAACAGATAACTCTGTTTTAATTTCTTTAATGGTTTGGTTGTGACAAATTTTCCTCTAGTTTAGAACTGGGCTTTGCTGCTTCTACCTTTCCTGGATGCATTTGTGTTTTTGGATACCAAGGGGTCATTCCTTGAACCCCTGTCACTCCAACTTTAGGTTCATGAGCTCTTCACCCTTAGGTGAGCTTTTCATTGCTCAACCTCCATAATGGCTCTTTTACCACTTGAGGCAGCTGCCTGTCTCTGGCACGGTCCAGTTTCCTAGGCAGTGTTGTCCATGTGAAAGCAGCTGTAGGTCTTTGCTGTTGTACTAACCCTTTTCCCTATTTTGTTTTTGGATGGGTCAGGTTCCATGTTTTTTCCTCTTTGAGCTACTGTGTATTATGTAATTAACTCGTTATTGGAAGTCCAGACTTTTTTTAGTTGAACTTTAATTATATAATTTAAATAGCTGATAAATTAAAATATGACTTTGTTAGATAACATTTATGTAATGAATATATTACTATATCTGCAAGTACCAGTATAGTGAATGGACAGATATTTGTGTTTGTGTATAAACTTCTTTCCCAGTATTGCTCTTGTTTTTCAGAGCTGGTGCCTTCCCATCCTATCAGTAACTTATTGCTTTTATGTGTTGCAGAACTTCCGTACCCAGCTGCAGCTTTTCTGGTGGGCATATGTGCTTGCATCTGTTTTGTCAACTCTCTGTCCGGAGAATTTGTATTTGACGATTCTGAAGCAATTGTCAATAACAATGATATACGAGGTGACACTCCCCTTGGCAATGTTTTTCACAATGATTTCTGGGGAACCCGTCTCACTCATCCTTCAAGTCACAAATCCTACAGGCCATTGACAGTGCTTTCATTCAGGTATGTTTATAATTTCTTGTGCATTTGCTGAGAGAAGGTAAGTTTGTGATATCGAGTAGAATAAATACAGAAGCTGATTTAAAGTATGAATTAAGAGGATTAAATTAAATTAAATTTTTTATTCAGGAAAAGTACATACATAGTTGATTTACAAACATAATGTTGGATTTATAGATAGAGCTAGTACATACAATACCTAAAGCCACTAATACGCATAGAAGGTTCGGGCAAGATGGTTTCAGAAACATTCTATATATTTAATGCATATATAAGTGGTAACTTTGAATCACTTGTTAAAAAAAATAGAATACGATATTCGAATCTTTGACTTTCATAATTGATAATATATAATTAATATTAATAGCAGATAGAACTACAGTTAGCTAATTATCTTATTACCTTCAGTGTTTTTAAATTGAATGATGGTAGTTTGTTTTTTATCATTTAGTAATTTATTTGTTTATTAGTTTATATGATACTGTAATAACAATCTGTGGATCATACACTGTCTTATTGAGGCAGTTTAGAACCATCTGAACCTGAAAGGCCTGTTTAGTATTGCCCTTGTATAATGATTGAGTTTTGAATTGATTTCAGTCCTGTGTCTAAAAAGACAGGACTGAAATGAGCCAAGGACCATGGTAACAGATGGGTGGAATTACCAAAGGTGAATTTTGATTAAAATGCTGCACTATTGGCAGAATGTCAATGATTTTACTACATATTACTACATCACTACTTGCCCGAAATGCTATGCATACTAGTGGCTTTAGGTATTGTATGTACTAGTTCTTTCTTTAAATCCAACATTATGTTTGTAACTCATCTGCAATGTACATACCTTTACCTGAATAAAGAATCTGAATCTGAATCAGATATAGTACCCAAGGGGTCTGTTAAGAAGCTGTTTATAAAGTCAAATGTTACAGAGCTCCAATGATACTTACAATTGTAACCACTAGTGGGAACTGTAATCACCCTGTGAGGTAGTCTGACTGACAACTGGGTGAACAGCACTTCGGATTCGTAGTCCTGAGGTACCGGGTTCGATCCCCGTTGCAGGTGGAGACAAAAGGGCAAAATGTTTTTTTCACCCTGATGTCCCTGTTACTTAGCAGTAAAAAGATACCTGGGAGTTAGACAGCTGCTACGAGCTGCTTCCTGGGGGTGTGTAACAAAAAGGAGGCCTGGTCGAGGACCGGGCCGTGTGGACGCTAAGTCCCGAAATCATCTCAAGATAACCTCAAGATAATCAAACCATACCTGCTGCACTCCACCACCAGGTGTAGCGCCTCTCATGACTTAAGGTTCACCATCCCAACTTCCTCTTCCTTTTGATGGTTTATCAAGTTAAATTAAGTTGGCATTGTTACACAAGTTCTGGTGGTTATTTTGGTTTACCAGGTAATCATCAGCTTATTAACTGTGGTCAGTGTCCTAGCTAGTACAGGATATGGGTTAGTTTGAGTATCTCCCAGTTGGTTTCTTGGTTGTCTCCTGAGTACTGATGTCAGAAAGTGATATCAGTGAGAGACTACAGTTAGAGGATATCACCAGAAACAACATTGAAATTGCCAAATCTGAATAAATAAAAGATCTGGAAGTCATGATTAGTAGGGGATTTTCAACAGTAAGACATCTGACTATATTCTGCTCCTTTATTTTGTTAATCTTGTTTTACACATGCATATATTGTTTTAATAATTTGTACATTTTGGGGATTTAATTATAGTTGTTGAGCCTACTAGATAATCTAGAATTTGCTACATTATACCTAGATTATTATTTATATTCACATTCTTATTTTCCTGTTAATATCTTGTGATAATTTATGTATTTAATTTTCTCCACAGATTAAACTATTCATGGGGAGCACTGGATCCATTCAGTTACCATGCAGTTAATATTGTACTTCATTGTCTTGTGAGCATTATGAGTCTTCGGGTCTTCTATGTAGTATTTGGAAGTGGGGCACCCCGAGCTGCTCTTCTCTCTGCAATTCTGTTTGCTACGCATCCAGTACATACTGAAGCTGTAAGTAAGCCATGTAAACACTATAACAAAATTAATTTCAGTGAGTTTAGCATTATGTGCATATTTTCTGTGGAGAGCCCCTCTGGCTTCCCGAAGCTATACTAGGCTGATATGCATATTTTAGACTTTGGCATCAGTCAATTCGATTAGAGTTCTTAGCCTACCGGGGACCACAAGCCAGAACCTGGCCTCAGAGAGGCACGAGGAGCAATGGCCAATAGAAACTCCCGTGTGGTTGGAAGCATTCTATATATGCATCTGCTGGGTTAGGTACCCAGAAAGATAGGCGTCCCAAAACAAACTACGACTGGTTAAAATTTGCGACCGAATGCCGAACTAGCAAGCAGAACTTCCCATACCAAAAACAAGCAAACAGGCATGACGTCACCATCGCCGCCATGCCGCTGTCTGCGCAGCTACCTCCTCCCCGGGAGGGAGGAAGGAGGAGCTCCTGCACTAGCTATCCAACCCCAGTTCAGAGGCTGAATGTCAAACCCGCGAAAACCGTCTACCGGAGGGAGGGTGGGTTGCCGGGGAGCCACCGGGACTCTCCCATACAATGGGATTTCATTACAATCAATGCTGGATTTTTTATGTCAGTAACCCAATTTTAGCAGTCATTTATTATCAGTCTTTTTTTTATTTTTTATTTTGTTTCTTTATTATTGTTCATCAGCCATTGTCGTCTCCATCATCACTAACGTCATCATTTATCTCCTGCAAGTGTATCTTACCCCTTGTCCTTTTTTTTATTGCATTTCTTTTTTTTCCTCCTCTCAAGCCCAAATCCCTATCAGGAGTGTGAAGAACAGTTTCAAAACTTATGTGAATAATGAGGATGAATAATTTTGTTAAGGGTCATTGCACTCTATGAGAAAATAGTCTTCCTGCCACTATGTTGGTTATTTTTGGCTAAAGCTATTTTCAAAATCATTTAATAAATTATTTATCTGAACCAAAAATTTGAACATTGGTGTTAATGTTCTTTTCATTTTAACGTAGCCATACCTAAATATTAAAATAAATATTCTTATCGTCAAATTTACATAAATCATGGATGGATAATTTTTTTTTTTAGGTTTCAGGGATTGTAGGGAGAGCTGACCTGCTTTGTGCTCTCTTTGTATTTGTGGCTCTGTTGAGCTATGTTAGAGCTGTTAAGGGAATGTCTGAAGACATTTCCAGCAAGGCACAGAACTGTTATCGGTACGTACAATGTGATGTGTACTTTCATTTTACGTTAAGGCATTGATACATAGGCAAGGAAAGTATTTACTAATATTGTAGAATTGTACTGGGGGTTTCCCGTTGCTTTCAGTCTAGTTAGACTGAATTATTGTTTGTAACATATTTTTCCTTACTTGCAATGATAAATGTATTGTAGGACTGTTTAGGTATATTGGCTAAAGATTTTAGTTTACAACCTTACTTTGCATGTGGGAAATATTGTATCAGTCAAGTATATAATTTTGTCCCTTGTGTTCCTGTTGATAAATTAAAAAAACTATATATTTTCAAAATTCAATGCAAGCAAGTGTAAAAAATAATGGTGGTCTTGTCTTTAAACAGCAATGTTAAGTGTGGGCACAGTGTATTGTACCTGCTTATCACTGCTGCATCTTCTGCCACAGCCATGTTATGTAAGGAGGTTGGCATCACTGCATTGGTAAGTATTTTAGTTTTAGTTCTGATAAATAGCTATACTGTATAATGTTTTCCGAGATTATATAGCAGACCTGATATATATGTTTTTCTATGCAGACGAGGAGTCACAATAACGTGGCTGAAATATGTTGACCAAACCACACACTAGAAAGTGAAGGGACGACGACATTTCGACTTGAGAATGGTCCAGGACGGACCGAAACGTCGTCTGTCCTTCACTTTCTAGTGTGTGGTTTAGTCAATATGTTTTTCTATCATATGTATTAAGTGCTTACCGTCTTAACCATTGCACTGCACATAGTGCCTTAACCCCTGGGCAGCGCTTGTGATTATAGCCAGCAACACCGTCAGGCGATAGAAAGAAAAAAATTAAAAACAAAATTTGTTTTCTTCAAAGATTGTTAAAATGTGTTTTCTGATCATGGGAAAAATAATAAAAAAATCGTGGATGACATATTTTGGCCGCAATAGGGCTAGGAAGTCTGGCAAAATTGAGGTGCTGACAGAGTAAGTGTCCCGAGCTGGTCTCCTCCAACCACGCTGTCAGGCGGGAGTTGCCGCAAAGATATTATTACCTAATTATTTCAATGTCTGATTTTTTTTTTTTTTGCAGTGATATTATTCAATAGTGTGTAGTGTGATATATTTATATAATAAAATGTGTGAACCATCGCTATATTCATGTTCATATTAGTGATGCAATTATTATATTTATAAAACAATAAACAAATAGTTATGCTGTTGTTACACTATTTACACACACATCATATATACTGCACAAGTATCTGCATGGTTTGTTCACCATAGCAAACCACTAAGTTGGTATGGTGAGTCCAAACAACAAGAGTGGCTGCCACACCCAGCCAGCAGATGCCACCACCCTCCCTCCTTCAACACCTTACTCACCAACATTCCTCCTCCTGCAATACAGTTTGTGCTTTTATTACACTATATACACACATGCTATATATATAAGTATATACATGTTTTATTCACCATAACTGTACAACTAAGCTGGTATGGTGTCCAAACAGCATAGTGGCCACCATAGTGTGGCATGACAAGTCACATACCAGCCAGCAGACGACAGCCTCACTCACTCCCTCACAAACACCTCCCTCACCAAAATGGCTCCTCCCAATATACTCCTTTTGCTGTTATTATACTACTGTACTTGAGTAACTGCTTCGTGAATTTGGCCCCAGATTTTGACCTTACATTCATGATAACTATATATTTATTTCATAATAAACACAATTTTTGGACGATGGCTTGCACATTTCTCACCTCTATATATATTTTTCCAGGGAGTCTGCAGTGCATATGATGTGTTGTTAGCTCATGAAGGCTTGATAGGCCGCACCATTATATCGCTAATCATTGCTCACAATCATCGGGCATTGACTATTTGGAGAAATCTTCCAGGTATTGTTTTTATTTTTTATTTCATCTATAATGGTAAGAGAAGGAAAGTTTTCTTGAGTCTTGAGTCTTACGTTAATCTTTTCTCTAAATTTTCATTGTCCAGCACTCCATTTGATGTTATATTCATTTAAATGTCTAACGTCTTTTGACATGCCCATCTTCTTTTATGATTTCCAAGCCATGTTAAATTTCTCTGATAACCCATGAGACTGGCCAAATGTCTTGTCTTTTTCTTAAAACAACACCCACATCTTCATTCCAGGATTTTCTTCTCGGTTCTGAATGTTCCCATTAATTAATAGTGTTTGCATCCTACATCCTATAGTTGTATGCTTTAAAATCTTCTTTAGTGAATTCCTGCAGATATTTTGCACTATTGCATTACTGATAAGGATTGACTTCATATCAATAAGGATTGACTTCATTCTCACAATTGACTTGAGAATGGTCCAGGACGGACCGAAACGTCGTCGTCCCTTCACCTTCTAGTGTGTGGTCTGGTCAACATACTTTAGCCACGTTATTGTGACTCATCGCCTGCATGCTCTTACCAGCTTGCCACTAAATATTGTTGTCTAGATTCAAATTCGGATTTGAGTGAATATAACATGCTCCTCTCTGAGCAGGGCACTCTCGAGTCTCCCCCAAGACTTGCTCCTTTCTAGTCTCTCAAGAACATGATCTTGTCAGTCAGGGTTATCTTCTTGAGGGTATCTTGAAATGATTTCGGGGCTTAGAGTCCCTGCGACCCGATCTTCGACCAGGCCTCCATTTTGTTACACACCCCTCAGGAAGCAGCCCATACCAGCTGTCTAACTCCCAGGTACTAGTATTTACTGCTAGGCGAACAGAGGCATTAGGGTGAAAAGAACTCTGCCCATTTGTTACCGCCTCCACCTGGGATCGAACCCGGAACTTCAGGACTACGAATCCGAAGTGCCAGATGACATTCTTCACTTGTACTGCAGAGATCAATTCCTGAATGAATTGTTTGCAGCTTGGTGTCATCATGGATGCCTGCAGGCAGTTTTTAAAGTAATTCTGGTATCATGTTCTTAAATTCATTATCTGACTGTTAACACTGAAGTTTAGAAGAATGTGCATTACCTGCTGGTACACTTTTAAACCCTTGTTTAATGTATGTACATATCTTTTGTGTGTGTGTGTGTGTGACTTTGAAAGCATCATGATCATGTTCATTAACATTTAATGCTCTAATAGCAGACACATTATTTGACAGTGCACCAATAAAGCCATTTTAATTAATATGTTTTATATACAGTTCATATGAATTCTCACTAGCATTGATATCAGTTAATTACAAAATTAGTTGTGTATATTATGTGCTATATAAACTAAAATACAGTACAGTACTGTACTGTATTGTAAAAGTATTAAAGAATGGTAATGTAAAAAAAGATTGAAATGATGTATAGTACTGTATATATATAAACATTTGACTTAAATACTCCATTCTTCTACTTTGTTGGTGTAAAGAGGTTGTTTAGTAAAGTTACGAATTTTGTTGTTGTTTTAGATGGTGTGGTTCGTGGTCTCGTCTGGCGTCACATGATATTAGCAGTAACGGGTATTGCGCTGCTGGTGGGTCGTTGGATTGTTATGGGTTCTACTGTGCCAAGGTTCATGAAAGTGGACAATCCTGCTTCATTTTTAGATAGTATTTTCTTTAGAGTGAGTATTTAATGTAACTCCATTTGTAAATATGTTTGCTAATATTATCTGTGTACTGTACAGTAGTTTTCATTTAAATTTAAGATATAGGTGATTATTATTGCACTTTATTTATAATTAAATTTGTAGATGCACTTTTCTTCATTTCACTTGTCTTTATTGGTGAGGTTAAAATAAAATGTTAAATAAATTCTCAGTTAACACTCTCCTCAGAACAATATGTATGTTTCATGAAATCAATTGTAATATACAGTACTGTATATTATTTACTTTTACATTTATTAATATACAGTACTGTATTTTGTTAATTGGTTAATCTTTATATCCAAGATATTTATAAGTCGTGTAACAATTTGTGATTTTAAATATAAAGTTACATGGAAACGTTTATATGCTATTTAATTGCTAGTGTAACTGTGAGGGAAATCTTCAGTTTATCCTAAATAAATGTTTTCTTTTTTACAAGTTTGTTCCTATTTTTTTTTTTTTTTTTTTTTTTTTTTTTTTTGCCCCCACCATGTTATATTCATAATGCACGCTCCCTTAAATGTATCTGTATTTACAAACATGAATGGTATTTTGGTATTTACAAAATAAAAATGGTATTTACAAACAGAATGGTACAGGCAAAGCATTCTCTACTGCAGTTTTCATTTACTATATTGTTTTATCAGTTGTAAATATCGGAACTCCTTTGTTATTAAATATTTTCCCATCTACTCTGCACTTTTTCATCTCTTTCATTTCTATTCATAATATTAAAATGTGGGTGAATTACTTCTACTTCATTAACTCCTCCGTCTTCAGTCTGCCCATGTGAACATTTTTTCCATCTTGCACTATCATTATAACAATGCATCCTCATGTTGCTACATTCATGCAAAGGAGAAATTTGAGCAATGCTATCCCATGGACACACTTATTGTTTTGTAACACAGGTGGGTACAGGAACAAATGACTGCTGACTCCTGTTAGCAGTCTTAGAGCTTTCCCCATCCTATAGCTCATGGTAAGCCTTACCCACTAGTTTATGGTAAGCCTTACCCACTAGTTCATGGTAAGCCTTACCCACTAGTTCATGGTAAGCCTTACCCACTAGTTCATGGTAAGCCTTACCCACTAGTTCATCGTAAGCCTTACCCACTAGTTCATCGTAAGCCTTACCCACTAGTTCATCGTAAGCCTTACCCACTAGTTCATCGTAAGCCTTACCCACTAGTTCATTGTAAGCCTTACCCACTAGTTCATGGTAAGCCTTACCCACTAGTTCATGGTAAGCCTTACCCACTAGTTCATCGTAAGCCTTACCCACTAGTTCATCGTAAGCCTTACCCACTAGTTTTCCCAGAACATGACCCATCAATCATTTAACAACCAGTACCCAATCACTGCTGAGTAAATGGAGGCATACAGTTAAGGATTAGTGTCTAGTCAATCCTTCCCTAGCCAGGATGTGAACCTAGGAAAAATCACACATGAAAGTGCTGGGGAGAGTGTGTTACCACTGTGCCACCACTACTTATCAGGTGCATGTTCTTTATCTTCCTTGATTGTCTTTAGTGTACCAGCAGTTTGCCTTCATGTCAGAATTTGTGTAGCTGCAATATCTATTACAGTACTGTACTTGGATTGTACTAAAAATACTCTGTAGTGGACATGTTTATTTTAACCATATTTTAATGTGTTTACTTGAAAGCACTTTTTCAGTGCCTGCCATGCTGATTATTATATCTTGAGGTTATCTTGAGATGATTTCGGGGTTTAGTGTCCCCGCGGCCCGGTCCTTGACCAGGCCTCCACCCCCAGGAAGCAGCCCGTAGCAGCTGTCTAACTCCCAGGTACCTATTTACTGCTAGGTAAGAGGGGCATCAGGGTGAAAGAAACATTTTGCCCATTTGTCTCCGCCTCCACCGGGGATTGAATTCGGAACCTCGGGACTACGAATCCAAAGCGCTGTCCACCCAGCTGTCAGGCGCCCTTATGAGAAAATGTAATTCATATCAGACTAACTAACCAAGATAATAGGTTTTAAGCAAACACAATTATTTTGAGATCTAAATCAAACTATTAATTGATTGAAGTTGGTTATGTATTGATATAAACAACTTTGTATTCACTGCATTCCAATGACTTTTATTCAATTAATATGATTGTTTGAGGTTTTATTGGCAAAAATAAAAAATTGCAATAATAGTTGGCAACTGCAGTATTGCAAATATTTTGAGATGAGAGTAATTAAAAACTAATAATAATTAGATGATTGATTCCTTTCAAATAAAGCTTAAAATGTAGCTAAAAAGATAGATTTTGTGATATGAAATTGCGTTATGAAATGTAATTCTGTATTGCTCAGTAATTCAGATCATATGGAGTCCAGCCTCATCTGAATTAGCCAAATTTTGTTTACCTGGAAAGTCCAAAAATTTGCATTTATAATTTATACCATGACCATCGTATGGTATGTGTCTTGGTGACTTGTCTTCATCTCTAAGGTGTTTGGGTTGTGGCCTACATCAACAACTGGCTGGTATGGGCTCCCAGCCAATCCATGTGTCTGCTAGCCAGCGATCTGGTTCTTTCCCAGTTTGCTGGGTTTGGATTCCTGGTGAATTAACAGAAGTTCCAATTGGTTCTAGTCCAGGTTCAGACTTAGTTGGGCCTCGTTTTGGATTCTCGGTCAATGGCGCTTTCTCTGCCTCCAGCGGTCTTGTCTCGGCTGCAGTGCTACTGTTAGTTGATGTGGAGTCGGCCCCGGGTGACTCGGCAGTTGCTCAGGCAGCTATGTGGGAGTCTCAACTTTGCACTCCGTGTGCATCCCTTGGACTGGGTTTGGCTTCAGAGGATGTTCTGGAGTCTCCCATGCAGTCCCTTTTGCCACTGCTGCAGCTGCTGGGTGCGGTCTCTGTTAGCCCTACATCAGCTGCTGTGTCACTGGCTGCTTCTTCAACCTTTTTGAGGTTTGGCTCCCTAGCGCCTTCCTCCACTCTCCTCCGCCCGTGCTCGACTACCCACCACATAAGAGTGAAATAAGATAACGATAATGCATATACAGTATGTACTACTGTCCTTTTTGTTTACAATACTGTACTGCTCATTTATCCTCCAGGCTGATGTTTTCTCATCCGTGGAAGTGGGGAAATTAGGTAGTACAGTACAGTAGTTGAGGATCTTAATGATTTAAGTATTTTTTCATCATAAATGATTTTTAATGTACCTGAAATTATATACTGGCTACATAATATATTTATTGTGGTATGCCAGCTTTCTATTTGAATTGGCAGTATCCATGTTATGTTGCATTTTGCCCAGTGTAGTTTCTATAATACCTAATCAAGGTGCAATGCATTTTTTAAAAGCTAAATGTTAAATTTTATTAGATTTAAATAGTGTTAATATATCATGTGATGTACGCGTTCAACAAGTGTTCACTTCAGGGTTTGCATGTTGAGCGTGCATGTTGCATAATGCATTTGCTGTTTCTTTTATGTCTGTTTATAAGTAATGATATATAAATTGCATATTTTACATATCTGAATGTACTTAAAACAGTATATATTTTCTCCACAGAGTTTGAATTATCAGTATACATACAGCATGAATGCTCTTCTACTGGTTCTTCCAATTTGGTTGTGTTTTGACTGGTCTATGGGCTGTGTGCCAGTCATTGTAAGCTTCAACGACCCAAGACTGCTGACTCTCCCAGTTCTGTGGGTTTCATTCATTATGTTGCTGAGGCGGGGAATGACCCAAGGCAAAGGGAGTCAGACCTCTAGGTACGGGGTCTTTTATTTCTGCTAATAGTGTGGTACTGTGGCATTCTTATGCAATAATGATTTATCTAGAATGTTAAAATAGGCTTTCAAAATTTGTTTAGTTACCCTCGGTGTGACTTGTCATTTTTGTCAATAAAGCATGTAACAAAAAATAACTATATTCTTCATATATTGGAGATAAATTTATTTAAATGTTTGGTTGAATAGAAGTCCACAGCTTAATTAACAAATTGTCGTGTAATTATTTTTCCTACTGTCTGGAACTGTATAGGCTATGCTACTTATTGATGAAAGGAGCATTTAAATTCTAACAAATGTATTTTTTATTTAAATATGTGTAGGTATTGTATTGCTTTATTTGCATGTTTGCATGCTTTTGTGAATGAATTTGCCTGAAATGTGGGCTGAATGTATTTGGTGACACTACCAGCTATGAAACAATATTTTGCTGCACGTAAATGCAAGAGATCAGAGATAATGATGTGGCTTTGGAACTTAGAGGTGTGAACTGAAGAAATTGCGCAGATCATCCAGTTGGATGCCATGTAAATAACACTCGACAAAGCTGTGCTCTGGGCTGGTCGTTTTTGTCTTGCCACGAATTAGACTTGTTAGGCTAATTTCCATGTTGCTGGTTGTCATTCCCCCTAACTTCCCTCACAGTGGAAACTTCATAATTTATATTGTCTATTAATAGCAAATTTGCAAGATAATATGAAAATAGAGCAGGAAATAATTCTCGATATCTAATCATTTTATTGACTACTTTCAGATGTGTATTAATGGCTTTGGCTATGGGAATAGTGCCATTTTTACCAGCTACCAATGTCTTCTTTCGGGTGGGATTTGTGATAGCTGAGCGTGTATTGTACCTTCCTGCCGCTGGGTTCTGTATTCTTGTTGTGACGGGTATGAGGGAGCTCGGCACAACTACCTTCATCAATAAGGTGAGATGCCGCAATTAAATGTGTGTACTATTTATTAATTTATTTAAGATTAGTTTTAAAGTACTATTGAGCCTGATGTCAAATTATGATCCATGAAAAGAACATTCAAAGTTCATGTTAGGAAGTTGTTTCATAAGGTACTGTTATACAGGTAACATTGATTATCAAGAATTTGGTTACCCAAATTTTACAGTATGTCTCCAGTTGGCTCATTATTTTGGTAATGAAATCTTACTTGATTTGTAAAATCTAAATTCTGCTCTATTAATGATGGTTTGATGCTTAGTTCAAGTCTATGTTTGCATTTTTCTATACTATATTCTGAAATGTTCATTTGTGTTCACTTTTGTCACCAGTTTGCTGGATAGTTATAGGCAGTAATTACCCAGTGTGTACACAGTATTACATTGGTGTTGAGGGTTTTGCTTCGCCATTTGATTTTCTAAGCAGTTCACCTCAGTTTTGGGTTGATCTTTGTCCCCATGTTCCTCCTTCACCTCTTTGATGGGGGTCAGATGTCATTCCTGGCTGAGAAAGTCTTCAGAACTTGATATTTGAGGACACTGGGTATTTTGTGCCTTAAGCCAAGATGAGCTACTAAGGTGTCGCACAGAGTAATTACTTAAGTTTTGTTAAAGGATGAGAGCTATGCTCGTAGTATCCCATCTTCGCATTACCCTTTGTCATGTGACACTTCGAAACTTTTAATGATTTTGGCTACCACCATCTTCTCACTTAACTTGGTTTAACCGTCAATTGTTCTGTTTGCAAAAGTGAACCTTTGTTTCTTTAGTTTAAACCTTCATCTTGTTCTTGAAGTTGCTGTTTTTAAACATTCTTCTTTGTCAATTTCGTTGATTCATCTTACTATTTTGTACATAGTGCTCATATCACCTCTTTTTCTTCTATCTTCTAGCTTTGGTATGTTTAGCACCTCTAACCTCTCCTTATATCTCTTATTCTTTGGTTCCAGAAGTCATTTAGTTGCATGTTTTTACACCTTTTCCAATTTACTGATGTGCTTCTTGAGATATAGGCACTATACAACCACTGCATATTTCAATTTTGGTCTCACAAAGGTCAAGAACAATTTCTTTCATATTTCTTCATTCTTGTACAGTATTTAAAAGCAATTCTAAAGTTAAAAAGCATAGCATACACTTCTAACACACTGTTCTTTATGTGGTCCTCGGGTGACATTTTTTTTTTCCAGAACGACCCGTAGATCTCTTTCCTTATAAGAATTCTTTAAAGATTTTTCACATAATTAGTAGGTTGTTTGTAACCTGTCATCTATTCTACATTCCATAAAGTTGCATTTTTTCACATTAAATTCTATTTGCCAAGTGTTATTGCATACACTTTTGTCCAGGTTTTCTTGTAGGGCATAATAATCGTCTTAAGTTTCTTACCTACCCGAGTAGCTCGGCATTATCAGCAAACGTGTTCATATAATTCTCTATTCCTTTTGGCAGATCATTTATATAGACAATGAACATTATTAGTGCTAGAACTGAATCCTGTGGTACTCCACTAATATCATTTCTCCAGTTTGATACATTGCCTCTGATTACTACCCTCATTTTTCTGTCAGAAAACTTCCATCTATGTCAGAAGTCTCCCTGTTACCCCCCCTAGTATGTTGACGTTTCCAGAACAGCTTTTTTTGTGTAACTTCAATAGGCTTGTTTTAAAAGTCCAGATAAATGCAGTCAACTCAACATATCTTGCAGTCAGTAAGAAACACCAATATTAACCACTGCACTGCACAAATTGCCTTCAGGCACTCTGAAAGTAGTGCTTTTTTTTTAATTAGGCTATGTTTTAATGTTTTTTAATATTTTTGTTACTCTCTGTATTTTGAAATGGAAATAGAGTTTGAAAACATTTTGACATTAACTTTACCTGAATATTTATAAAAACAAAAATATGGCGTTGACAATTGCACTAAGAAGTTTTTGCCGAAATCAGGTGCGCAGTGCAGTGGTTAAGGCAATCTTCCCCGCTACAAATTGTTATAGATTTGAACTATGTTTGCCTTTTTCCATATGTCTGCCAAGACTCCTGTATGCAAAGATGACTGAAAAATCAGTTTGTGTGGAGTGCTGAGCTCAGAGGCACATTCTCTCAGAACACAACGTGAAACAACATCTTGGCTCACTGCCTTGTTTCTACCTAGCTCCTTGGCCATTTTTTCCTACTTCATCTCGAGACACCTCGATATACTCTGAAATTTGTATTGTGCCTGGTTCTCTGAAGACTGGATTGATGCAAGTTGAGCGAGAAGGCGGTGGATGCCAAAACCGTTCGTAGTTTCAAAGCATCGCATGACAGAATATTGGGAAGACAAGACACCACTAGCATAGCTCTCGTCCTGTAACTACACTTCGATACTTAAACTTATGTAATTGCAAAAAGTGACATTTCATTATACTCCATACTCTATTTTTATTTGGATTATCACATAGACTAAATGCCTTCTTGTTACAGCCAATTCACATATGTAAGTTGTACTGGAGCACTAATTGACCTGAAATAAGTGCAGAATGTTTGAAATTTAATCTGTTGCCTCTTACATTTTACTTGAATTATTTTTATTTATTTTTTATTTTCAGAGAGTGCTTCAGATAGGGTACGTCTTCTTGGTGCTTGTGTTCATGCTACGTTGCCAGCAAAGAAGTCATGACTGGCTCACAGAGAAGCAGCTGTTTAGCTCTGGCCTTGATGTGTGTCCTTTAAATGCCAAGGTTAATGACACTAATTCATGTTTATGGGTGAATATAGTGGATTAATAGAAGGTTGGATAGTTATATAGTCTAAGTGGCAGTGGTGCTCTGAGAAATGTGTGTATGGAGTGTGTTTACCAGTACCGTACAGCATAACAAATTTGTTCTCATTTACCAAATGTAGTTCATTACAGAGTTTTGATGAAAGTTCAGTAATATGTGATAGATTTTTGGCAGCATTTTGACAAGAAAGTGCCAGTATTAGTTTATACAATTTACTCATTGTACTTTTAGGTTCATTACAACATGGGTAAAGTTGCAGCCGACACAGGAGATGTAGTAGAAGCTGTGAGACGTTACCGGGAAGCTCTACGATTGAACCCAGACTATGACCAAGCCATGAACAACCTAGCCAATATTCTTAAGGCAAGTGGAAGAGGCAGGAAAGGACCTTTATGATTCGTATTTAAACTTTTCATTTTGAGTAGGAGTTCACAACAATTTATTGCATTCTGTGCTGCTTTCAGGTTATATTAAGATGAGTTCATAGACAAGTAAAATAATATACATTTTGTTAAAATCTATGGATGCACAGGAGGAAAATATAACATTACACAATGTGATGATATAAATATCATGCTATAAATAGAAAAATGACAAACCGACAAAGAGACAGAGATAGGCATGGACAAAAACAGTGACTTATATCACAGGAAAAAAAGATAAAATAAATACTTGATATGACTTGATGTAACTAAAGCAGCAGAATTAGACCAGATTTTGTCATGAGTACTAAAAGAGGCTGCAGAGATATTATGTGACCCATTAACTTGTCTATAGTTTCTTGTAAGAAAAGGAAAACTCCCAGAAACCTGGAAAACTGTTAACACAGAACCTCTATTAAACAAAGGAGACAGACACTAATCATTAAACTAGAAATCAGTATCGCTGATGTCAATCTTGAGTAAAATCTTGAGAGAACTAACTTTGCAACAGAAGCAGCATGGTAGTAGAGGAGCAAAGCATGAATGGGGACCTGATTGAATTCTATGACAGTCACCAAGTCATAACAAAAGAGAAGAGTGGATGGATTGCATATATTTTATTGTGGAAAATCTATTGATACTGGCCCCATAAAATGTTAATTCACAGGCTAGAAAAGTAGGCTGCCCCAAAACCTATATAACTTATGTAAGTAACCTATGCTTGAAACAATCCAGTGATCAAACATGTATTTTAAGGGTCTCGTAGTACAGTTCGCTTTGTTTTCGACCCACAATTGGGGATCCTGGGTTTGATTCCTGGGTGGGACAGAAATGGGTGGGCTTGTTTCCTTTCACCTAATGCCTATTCTTCATCAAACAGTAAATAGTTACCTGTGAGTTAGACAACTGTTGGGGGTTGCATCCTGGGTCAGTTGTTCAACAGGTCTCCTGTCCTCAACAAAAATTAAAAAAATTATTATGTTGCCCAGTAATTTGTTTCATTACATTGTTTCATTCCAGTAATTACCATTTTCAGGTTTTTCGTGAATATAAACATATCCAATTTTTATCCAATTCGAGTTTCTATTTTTTGTTGACATACCAGTACATATTCCAAACCATATTTATATCCCCCTTTGTTATATCTTTTCAGCCATTCATAATATTGTTCATGTCACCTGTTTCTTTTCATAATTTTATATTAATTTATATTGACAGGATCAGGGTCATCTTGATGAGGCATTGCACTTGCTGCAGCAAGCCACTACCTTAAGACCAGATTTTGCTGCAGCGTGGATGAACTTGGGCATTGTTCAGGCATCACTGGGTGACCACACATCTGCTGAAAATAGTTACCTCACTGCTCTCACCCACAGATCTGTACGTTATAATAACATTTACAATTTTTTTTTTTAATCGTTCGTGTTTTACCCTTCTCTGACAATTTCAATGGTGTGACTAACAAAAACAGAATCATTATTATTCCAGTTAAAAGCAGCTGTTTTTGCTAGATGCCTAGAAAACGTGTTTCCACATCTTGTAATGTTTGTTCAAACATCTGGCCTACAAAATAAGAGTTTGGAGTACATGCTGCTGTTTAGCAGTACTGTAGCAGGAAAAGTGGCAACCCCCCCATGCTGTAGCTTAAAACAGCCACCTTGACCATTCAAGACACAACATTGGGATTTATTGTGTAAGTGCGAGTTGTATCCTGGGAGAGGTCAGTTCGTCGAGGGGGAAATTTTGAAAAGCCTAACTAGCTTCCTGTTCGCAACATTGTAAAATAATTAGCGGAGTCAGAAGTTTGTTAAAAGTTATGCTTTTGTCAATTTGTGTGTGAAAATGTTTCCTTGTTCTTTTTCACTACTCGGTTACTATTATAAGCGCTATAATGGTTAATGACACATGGAAAGAGCATTATTTCTGGGAGGCTCGATGAGCTACCCACCTGGTTAGCTCCAAGCTTAACTTATCCTACCAGGCTTCTATGAGTCATCAGTGCCTACCGGAGACCAGAAACAGAATCTGATCAATCAGTAGAGGCAAAGGGAATCTAGAGATGCGGATGCTAAATCAACCCAAATCAAGAGGAAAAATCATCAGAAAGGTAGAGCTCCCCAAAATGAGCAACTGTGTGGAGAAATGTTGGCAACCTTGACAACTATGTTCACACATGTTCACCAGTTCCAATTACTAGATTGCAGATTGCAATCAACCCTGGCAACCAGGACTCCTGCCAGCTGACCACTACAGTCATTCACCTCCCAAAGCTGGTCACTGAATACCCCTGAAGGAAGGGCAAGGACAGGGACTCACCAAGGGAACCCACCTAAGTGAGGCATTTCATTACATCTAATGCTGGCCTTTTGGGAGGACTCCTCGGTGGCTTCCCAAGCTATCTCAACATGGGAACACAAAGAAAAACAGGACAGTCTAGGGCTTGATTGTTTTGGCAAGACTGCTGGATCCTTCTGTTTGACCAGTCGGCGGGTTTCCTTCTGGCTGCTGTTGCTCAGGTGTTTGTGGCTTTGTCTACTGGATTTTTGTTTTTTTCCTGCCGTCTGCTTTCCTTTGCCTCTTCCGTGTTCCCCTTTTGTTTTTCTTCTCGGTGGTGAGATTGCAATAGGAAGCCACCATGAAGCCCACTCAAAAAACTAACATTGAATGTAATGAAATCTTCCTTTCTGGTGGCTCCTTAGTGGACCCACCAAGGGTCCACTAAGTTTTTTTAAACTACAATATACATGACAATTGCATAAATTAATTTGTGATAAGTGTTTGCAGGTGTGTGAATTAATTAATGACTATTGCATAAATAAATTTGTGATAAGTGTTTGCAGGTGTGTGAATTAATTAATTCTGCACTTATTTATATGTTGATTATAAATTGTTTATATAGTACTGTACTTTCAGGTGTATCCGGACTGTCTGTACAATTTAGGTAACCTTTATTTAGAAAAAGGTGACCACAATGGTGCTCTTGCTACCTGGACCAATGCCACCTCCCTCAAGCCCTCCCTCGCCGTGGCTTGGACAAACATGCTGATCCTCCTGGACTCCCAAGGATTGTATCAACCTGCCATTGAAGTTGCAGATAAAGCATTAAGGTTGTATTTGCAGTATATTGGTTTTGACATTAATAATTTGAGTAATTTTTCTTTACTGCATGCATTATCTTTCTGCGAGTGACCCCTCGATGGCTCTCTGCAGCTAGCTGCCCGGATAAGCCTACATAAATCGTGTCACACTAGGCCCTTGCGAGTCATAAAATGAATACCAAAGACCAGAAACAGAAAAGTCAAAGGCACAGGAAGCTGGGATACTAGATCGATCCCAGACCAAGAAAAATGCCACCAGAAAGGTAGAACACTCCAAAACAAGGGAAACATAATCAAGACTGACAACTAGGATTACAGTAGTTAGGTTGTTGTCTGTGCTAGTTACAACCCACCCTTTCTCCAACCACCACCAGGTGGGGGGACAGGTAGCTTGGAGTCCATCTGGTGACAACTAATCAGGCGTGCACTTGGCAAGATCTCACATCATGTCACCACCACCACCACCACCACCACCACTTTTTTTTTTTTTTTTTTTTTTTTTTTTTTGGGGGGGGGGGCCTTTTGGCATAGCTCTATTTTTGTGTGCAAGTGTATTTACCATCTTAGCTAATTATAGTTGTGCGTGTTAAGTTAAGCATACATTGAACATGACTCTTCTCTTGTGTTAACCCATCCTTTTATGTTCCTAGTTTCATGACTTTTGTATTGTATTTGTTTATATTGTTCGGGGGAGTTGTTTTGGCAATTTTTAAGGCATCAGTCTTATAACCAGCAGTGGTCTTTCATTTTGCCGACTTTGTATGTGCTTTTTTTGGTGGTGGCATGATTATACTTCACAGATATTTTCATCATAGTGGCATTGTTCCCAGCACCTCTCTAGAGGGGTCAGGTTTTGGCTCTAGTCCCCGGTAGGCTGAAAAGAACTCTGACTGATGGCACCAAGTAGTTTGGCATATATATCAGTATCGTAGCTTCAGGGAGCCATTGGGGTTCACCCAGGAATTGGTATTTCATTATACTCAACACTGGTGTGTTGAGTATAATGAAATACAATTATATTCAACAAAAGGCGCCTGATAGCTGAATGGACAGGGCTTCGGATTCGAAGTGCTGAGGTTCCAGCTTCAATCCCCAGAGGAGGTGGAGACAAATAAGCAAAATGTTAGTGTCACCCTGTTACTTAGCAGTAAATAGGTATCTGGGAGTTAGACAGCTGCTACGGGCTGCTTCCTGGGGGTATGTAACAAAAAGGAGGCCTGGTCGAGGACCGGGCCACGGGGACGCTGAGCCCCGAAATCATCTCAAGAGAAGATAACATTGAATTGGCTTTGTCCCAATAGTTTGTGTGAGCTGGAGTTCATACTACACCTACTTATATGGTATAATGATTAATAGTCAAGAAGAGTGGTGAATAGTCAGATTTCTAACAAATCAGTGAAAGTAAATTAAACTTTTAATCATTGTGTATTGGATTTGTAAGTGAAAATTTTTTTTTCTGTTGCTTTGCAGTGTCACACTTTCAAATTAAATCATGTTCATTATATATTTAATAATGCCATTGTTAGTAGAACAAGCAAAAGTAAGAATATACTACACTGTTTTATTACTTTAAAGGCAATGAATTATGTTCTCTTTTTTACCATCAGACACCTTCCAAATGAACCTGCACTTCACTTCAACTTAGCCAACACTCTTGGAAAGCTCAACCGTTACGAGGAATCTGAATCTCATTTTCTTCAGGCCACAAAGCTTGACCCAAGCAATGCCAACTACTGGGCTAATCTTGGTGTCCTGTATCACCGTTGGCGTAAGTATGAACGGGCTGAGAAATCCTATGTACATGCACTGAGGCTAAACCCGACCCTGAAGAGTGCACAAGATAATCTGAGCATGCTTCTTAAAGCCACAGGAAGGATATCTAGATAACACAAGATGAATGTAAGTGACAGGTGAACTATATGACCTACAAAATTGTCTGGCATCAGGAACAAGACAGAATTGTTCAATTATCATTTAGTCTACAATCCTTTTATACTGTTATTGTAGTGAAACCCATGCTGCAGCAAGAGAACATGTGCTCTTGGTAGGTTAGTGCTGTATTGAAGAGAATTATTGTTTTTCTTTTTCAGGATTTTGAATTTGCTCACATATTGTTGTTAATTTGCTGATTAAAGTTATGGTATATGATAACACATACAAATGGTAGAGTTATGTATTATGTTGATCCCTTTTGTTTGCCCCAGTTTTCTTGTAATAGTTATTTCAAGATACTAGTGATCAACCAGATGGTAAATGTACCCCATACTGTTGATCAATCCACACGCTAGAAAATGAAGGGACGACGACGTTTCGGTCCGTCCTGGACCATTCTCAAGTCGATTGTGTTCCTCACACTGTTTTTGCCCACAGAACTAGGAATATTCCACTCTATACAGTACACGTACAGTACTTATAACCCAGTACAGTATATAGAATGAATATTAGTTGTTAAAAGACTTTATTAAAGTTTTTCTTAAGATTAGATGGCTTTGGTTGGCTTTGGTCACATAAAAGTTTAAAATAAAAGATGGATCTGGTTATAGACTAAATAAATTATTTTTTTACTCTTTGTATTTTTGTTTTGTTTTTGTCGTAAATTCATACTTTTACCATTCCAGCTAATGCAGTGAAATTGTTATTTATAAATTAGCCATTTTTTAAGTATCTATTCATTGCTGTGGCATTTATGAAAGGGCTCAAAGTTTGAGTTTTTTTCTGTTTAGTAACTGAAATAATTAAATTTTAAAATAATGCAAATTTTTTCCAAATTACTTGCTCTGTATTCTTAAATGCTATTTTCCTTTATCTTCATTGACAGTTTGTCATTCAGTATCTGTCTTCATTCAAACTTATAAAATACTATACACAAATTCTTTCTCAGTTCATATGTTACAATAAGTGCCATTATTTCAAAAGCTAAAAATGGTGTGAAAAATGTAATAAAATTGTAAAATCATCATCATCATAACTTGCCAACTCGCATTAGGATTTCCTCTAGCATACATTAATGTGTACGAGGGAGTTCCAATATGCAACAAAACTGATGAAATTAGGAATATATAAAAATAGTTATTTTGTGGCTAAGTGCAGTCCAAGAAGCTGTAGAATATTCTACATTAACATTGACTAATGCCAATTAATAGAAGATCCACAGCAGCAGCACCTCACCACTTCTACAACTAGGTGTAAGATGCTTCCCATGAGCTGTTACTTGAAGTCACAATTGCAAGTACAGTGACACCTCAGCTTGCGAATGTCCCTATTTACAAACCTTTCGGCTTATGAGCCGTCTCTGGAACAGATTAATTCGTAAGCTATGGTACCACTGTATAGTACAGTATAGCCTTTTTTCCCACCAATTTGTCTACACTTTACAAACACTAACTCACTGTGTCTATTCAGCTTCTTGGTATTCCTTTCATAAATCTTTTAAATTTGCTCAAATTCTTTTGATAATTACTTATTTGCTCAAATGCTTTCTTCACTAGCATTAGGAATATTAAATTTGCACTTTTTTGGTATTGTATGGTGCAACCCACATTATCCAGATCAATAAGTACCTTTAGGCATCTGGATAACTTAAATTTTGGAAAAGCCTGTTTATAATCGTTGGTTCAGCAGTAACCAACACACGGCTATATTTATTAATATGGTACAGATTTTTATTTATTGCTTCTGGCATCAGTAAATTATTTATGATATTTCTTACTTTATTTATGAGAAATGGATGGTTGGATATAACAAAGTAAGGGAGTCAGCACTGAGTGAGAGGGCCAACAGTCTGGTTGGCAGACCTCTGGGCTCAGGCAACCACCTCCACTATTCCTACTAACTCCTTATTGCCGAGGATTGTATATACAGTAACACTTAACACTTGCATGTGATTTGCAATTCTTATATTAATAAGCATCCTATTTAGACCATCTTTCATATTATTTAGGATGGCATAGCACTAATATGGGAAGTTATTTTGAGAGCATTTATTATATTAGAGCAAGACAGCTGAGTGATGGGGGCCTGACAGCTTGAGCGGACAACACTTGGGATTCGTAGTCCTGAGGTTCCGGGTTCGATCCCCAGTGGAGGCGGAAACAAATGAGGCAGAGTTCCTTTCACCCTGATGCCACTGTTCACTTAGCAGTAAATAGGTAGCTGGGAGTTAGACAGCTGCTATGGGCTGCTTCCTGGGGATGTGTAACAAAAAGGAGGCCTGGTTGAGGATCGGGCTGTGGGGACGCTAAGCCCCGAAATCATCTCAAGATAACCTCAAGGTGAAGGTCCGTTGATATAGGAGGAAAAGAGGGCTGCCTGCTAACAGGAGTTTGAGGTCATATTCTGTAATCACCTGTTGATAATTCCGAGGGTCAATGCCCCCACGGCATGGTCTCTGACCAACCCTCGTAGTTGGTTGTCTTGTATACCAGGCTCTTCAATGCAGCTGCTTTAAGCCTGTTGTACGAGTCACAGCCTGGTTGATCAGGTAATGGGGTGTCATTTTGGGTATGGTTTGATGATCTCTTGTTACAACTTGCTATCATACGTAAACTTAACACTTTCGCGCTTTCGATTAGAGATAACTCGTCACTGGTTTTTCTTACGATTCCGCATAACTGCCTACTTTTCTCGTCAATTGAAAAAATATTTCTATAAATTCCATTTTTTAACCGAAATGGATGGGGATACTTTTGTTTTGTAGAGAATTTATTTGCGAATTTTTCGGTACCAGAATGAATATTATATCACATAAACTTCTATGAGTAAAAAAAAAAAATACACAAAGTATGTTTGGGGGTGTGGCGAGCGTGTGGCAGTGGGTTCCCTTTAGCCGTTGATATATCCAACACGTGGGAAATATTTGTATGTGTTATGTATATGTCTGTGTAGAGAATTTTACTGCGATCACTGTCATACAAATTATAAAATGTTTCAACAAGTATAAACATGACAAACATCAAACGAACGAAAACAATGCGTTCGTTTCTGCCGCGAACGCATACTGAGCGACGTGGTTCTATATTTGGCGCTTCTCTTACACATGCTTTGTACAAATGTTATACAGTTCATCTTATAGAAAATTTTATTGCGAACACATTGGTATAAAAAAGAAATACGTACATAGAAAAGTAGGGTCAGGAAACGTATAAACTTTCCAAGCATGATTCCCCCCCTGTGTTTTCGCCAGTGCGCTCGCGGCTAACTACTCTCCACTTCACACACTCTTGCGGGTGGGCAATTACCTATATTAAACATTCACATGCATATGTCCGAGTAGAGAATTTTATTGCGATTCCAATGATACCAAAATTAGCGATGTAGGACAACTGTAGGCTTCGCAACCATTAAGAGAGTGGAAACATTTTGTTGCTGTTTGGCGCTCTCGGCGAGTGATCTGCATAGTTTTTGATTTGGTGTTGATACTCCTTATGCTTGGGCGGCATTTTATAGGTATGCTCTTATAGACAATTTTATTGCGAACACAGTGACACCAAATTTAAATACGTGCGCCATCAATTCTTGTCAGGACAGTCAAAAGAGTGTACACTTTTTCGGTCTTACCACGTAGGCGCGCGAAGTGCCGAAAGCATCTGGGGTATTGTTTTTTTTTGAGCGCCGAGAGCGCGAAAGTGTTAACTGTATGGATGCACACATTAATTTCTTCTATCAAGTGCTATATAGTCATAATAGCTTAGTGCTTTCTCCTAATAACTAACCATCTATTGTTTTGCTATATTTACCGAGCTGGCTTGGGTAATCTTAACTGTTTACATTACGTAAAGATAAGCTTTGTTATTTTTTGGCTATGGCACCATGGAACGTCTCATTTATTAACGTTGGCTCCCCATTTATTGGAAGTACTCGAGTACATGAGGATGGGGAACGGGATATGATCTCTTTGATTAACTCAAGAGTCCATAAATAGGTGATCTGGATATTGTGGGTCCCAATGTATTGAGCTTTACTTTATTAAATTTGTAATAAAAAATGACAATACATCGCATTTGCAGTGTTACAATGGTAAAAGTTGAGTTTTTGCAATTAAAGCATGATACTTAATGTAACTGGTTTGCAATCTTGGATTCTCAGAGATGAAAAGGAATCTCTTTTACTAACTTTGTACTTATATATATTCTGAATATATTAAGTGCTAAGATAAAAATTATATTTATATAGTGTTATGCTTGAAATGACTGATTTCAGGTAGCAAGTTAATAAAAATGTCAGTTACAAGGTAAGTTTAAGTAATTTGTTTATTTTGAACACTTATGTTTTAATACTTGTTAAAAAATAAACTGTGTACAGTGGCACCTCGATTAACGAGCGACTCTATCTATGAGCATTTCGAGCAACGAGCGAGCCACTCGCACGACATTTGTCTCTACTAACGAGCTTTTCCTCGATTAACGAGCGTTTCCGCAGGTTCTCGGACACCTTTTACGAAAATTTTGTTGTTGTTTCGCAAGACGAGTTTTCCACATGACGAGCTCGGTATCGGAACGGATTAAACTCGTTAATCGAAGTGCCACTGTAATTTAATGAATTTGAAAATTTGTAAACATTGAGATAGTTTTGTCATAAGTACAGTGAGATAGTATAGCCTTAACTACATGTAAATGAAGAGTAACTGACAAGATCATAAAATGTGTGTTACAATTATTTAAGTTCAAGAAAAAGAAACATTAAATATAAAAAAGATGAATTACTGAAATATTTAAAATATTCTGCTTTTAGATTTTGACTGAAAGATTACTGGAATAACAAAGAAAACTTGAAATATTGATTGCAGGAACCTGTTTGTTGGTTTTCTCACATTTCAGTACTAGGAATTAGATTCATAAAGGTGAATTTTGATTACAAGCTATATGTCATATTTTGGCATTATACTCCAACTTAATTTTGCCTTTGTGCCTCTTTATTTTACATTGTACTTAAAATCAAGGATAACTAAAATGCTCATAATTAGTACACAATTATTCTCACATTATAACATCTCTACCTTTCCCGAATTATTGTGTTCTTTTGTAAATGTGCCAAGTAACCTGTTTTCAGTTAACCTCGGGTATATATTGAGAAGCAGGTAATAAATGGTAGTGTGTGTGTGTGTGTGTGTGTGTGTGGAAAATGAGAGTATTGTATATATATATATATATGCTGACATACCACTATTTTTTTCTGTGAA